ATTAATTAGTTAGTCATTAACCAATGACTTAAGATACTGTTAATCATGATGTTTATCCAATTATTGTGAATACTAAAAGTCGTCATTTTCTGTGGCACTCCAGGTCTGAAAAAAGGGACACCCACATGCTGGGGATTGTCCAGTTGGTTTCAGGGAAAGAATATTGTTTTACTTCCAAATGCACAGTGTATCAATGGTTGGTTGTTTTAACCATCTTGAAAAATCATGGAGTTCGTCAATGGGAAGGATGACATCCCATATATGACATGGAAAGTAAAATTCCATGGTTTGAAACCACCAACCAGATCAGTTGGTACATGATTCGTATTGATCTCGAGTTAGGAGTGATACACCACCGGTTGAAACCGAGGGGTCGACGTGTCATTTTCATGTCATCCATCATCCATCTGGGTAAATTGTAATATTTCACTAACCTGAATTAAGCCCATTTGGGGATGATTTCCCTTACTAACCATGATTTCCAGTGAGGTCGTAGTGAGGTCGTTATAATTTACCCAAATCCATCCGGAACATGGGATGAGTGCTCCCGAATGGCCATGAATCACCTGGAATCCCACGGTCGGCCAATTGACGAATTGAAACTGCTGGTCGGATCCCTCTGACATAGAAAAAAGATGGAAAAAAACATAGCTTTTGACAGCTGCTACTCATGGATCTTCATGTTTAAAGAACCACCATGGTTTCTCGAAAAAAACTTGGAAAACTACACACAACCACCATTTCTCGGAAAAAAAATGGAAAAAACAGGGAACCATCCCCAGCCGTCGCCGCACCATATAAAAGGTGGCCATCATGAACGCAATGGAGCCCAACAGCATGACCTGGGTACCCAACACCGGCTTTCTATGGATAGCCTTGGAGAGCTGTACTGGTGAATAACATTGGATAACTATGGATATTCTATGGATAACAGACAACTATAATGACCATCATGGTGTTGTTCGCGAAAAACAACCTGGTTGATATGATCCAAGAACAAAATATCTAGCTATCACAGATACCCACAGATACCCGGTAAAAAAAGTCACTAGTGGTTTGCTGATTTCAAATAAGCCTTGTTCCCAACCACGAAAGCTCCACGAACCTCCACAGTTTCTCACATCTCCCAGCCATGTTCGCGGATGGTGAAAAACTTGGAATGTTAAACTGGTTCAACTCCCAAACAGATGTATCATGGGAAATGATCCCATTCATCATCCAGAAAACTCCCATCGTTGCATCGGATCTCCATGATTCACCAAGGTGCAGCGATGCCCAAGTTCAAACCATTCACCTGGCGATCCATCTGCAACTTTCACAGTGTTAACATGTGTTAACTATCTTTTTGTCACATATAATCACAGTTGAATCCATATAAATCCCAGGTTAACTATCATAATCACTATCATAATCACGGTTAACGAAAAACCTGGGATGTTCACATTGAAACGAACCCCCTTGGGATTCTTCGAAGTTTGGGATATGCTTTTCCATGGAAAGACGGGGAGATTTTTCAATGGTTCTTTGTCAAAGCCAAAGTGTAGAGTCACTGCCAGCTGTTGAAGAAAATTGCTGATTTCATGGTGATATATTACTGGGTGGTGGTTGAGCCCTACCCCTCTGAAAAATAAGAAAGTCAGTTGGGATGATTATTCCCAATATATGGAAAAATAAAAAATGTTCCAAACCACCAACCAGATTATGTCTGCTAAACAATCAACAATTATGTATAATATATATATATATAATTATATATATATATATGTACACATGCACGTGTCCTACAGAGCATCAAACTCTGGCATGTGCATTTGCTCCTAATTCACGTCTGTAATGTTACATGTCTGGACGGGTTATTCATAATTGCAAATGTTGTACAAACCGCAAGCATTGGGATTTAAACCTATAGATATGGGCTGTCCAATTGTAAAATCATGTCATGTCCCATATCTCAGTTTAGTAATTCGATGGTCGCCACAGGGTCACGGCTCACTGGCTACAGTGCCATGTTTATCGACCAAATCGTTGGATCATTAACATCCCCAGATGGAGGTGGAACAAATATGCGATATCCCCAGATGGAAGAAATATATTTTCAACTATCCCCAGGTGTATACATTCAATATATTTCAGTCTCCAGTATTTGTCAATCTTTGATATTCCATATCCCAACTAGTGGAACATATATCCCCAGATGGAGGTGTATAAAAATCAGAACCCCAAATTCCCATCGTTAACAACTTCAGTAACATCATATCCCCACAGGATGGGCCCCCCGAGCTATAAGTTGGTTTATAAACCCCATAACCATAGTTAAAACTATAGTTGTATCTATATATAACTATAGTTAATTAATTGGATTAAGGCTATAGAAATAAACTTAAACCATTATAAACCCTATGAAGACTATACTTACATCTACCATAAACCATAGAATTCAGCCACTTTTCTGTTCGGCAACTGAACGCGAGCTCGAACAGGGGCCCCTTTTTATTGCATGTTTTCTGTCTATCCCCAGCCGGAATCCCGGTACACGTCCATCCCGGGTGAAAGAAATGTTTCATGGCAGGGTAAATGATGCGTCTATGGGGGTTTCCATACATGGGGTACCACCAGTTCTCATGGATGGTCTATGTTAATTTACTGGAGGGTATATGGAAGTTTCCAAAGTCATGAGGGTAGATTGGGATTTTCCCTGAAAAAGTCACCATCCAGCGATAAAGGGGTACCCCCATGACTTAGGAAACCCCTATATTAATTAGATGACCAGCGTCGAAGGCCAATCGGAAAATCCCCCGATGCTTTTTTACAAACTCATGGGGACTCCCAAAAGGATGTTGATAATTCCCAATATATGAAGCGTAGGTTAAGAACCTCCACCAAAAAAAACATCAACCAACATCAACCATTAATCATACGTAGTTGTATCTACCATAAACCATGATTAATTCAGCCACAGCCATATCTCAACTTAGCACTCTATCTATCAATATTGATCAAGTGTGTTTCGCTCTGTTGGTGAAACCCCAATTTTTATGTTGGTGAAAACCCCATTGGATAATCCGTCACCGGGTGCTCAACGCCAGCGTCTTTGATTTTTTTGATTGTAGCTGGTTCCTACATCCCATCATATATCCATGAAATCACCATGAAATCACCATGCTTTATGGTTACCCCAGTAAATGTTCACATAGACCCTGCAATTTCTAATTGTGCTTGCAAGATTGTTTTCCACTACAAACCTGGTCCCATTTTCGAGGGTCAAACTGTGAAGTCAAACTGGAGGTTAAAAGCAACTAATCTGACCATTGCAGGATCGGGCCCCGGTTCGAGCTCGCGTTCAGTTGAGATATACAGTAAGTGGCTTTTCTTCTGGTTTATGTCATATAGATATAACCTTTTCCCCATGGTTTATGGTAGATATAACACTGGTTGGTGGTTTCAATCCCTCTGAAAAATATGAGTTCGTCAGTTGGGATGATGAAATTCCCAACTGAATTGAAAGTCAAGAAATTCCATGCCACCAACCAGTATATGTGTGGTTTGATTCACCGGCCATCTGGATGAACAGAATCTAGCTACTTGATTGATCAACTTGGATTTGTCATCAAATGCCTTTCACCAAATCGATTCACCATATAACTATGCATACTATGGTTCATGGATGTTTATAAACCAACTTACAACATCTTACAACATGCCCCAGCACCATTCTGCACTGATTTGGCCTCGGGCGTCTCCTCTGCCGTCACTGGAAGGACCATCACCAGAGCCACCGTCTGGCGCGGTTTGCGAATGAAAAAGTAGGTATCTTTATTGAAAATACCAGGAGAAGCCAGAGTTAACATAGATTATCTAACATAGTTCTATGTATAGCCATTTAAATGTTAACATAGATATATTCAACATAGATTTAACATGATTTAACAGTGATATGGACCATTTATAGATGATATACCATGATATACTGAGCTTGAACATGGGGAAAATCCATAGCTATGCTCAATGAGAGGGTAAGATTTGAACCCGTATAGTCCATGAATGTCCACGAAGTGTCCATGAAATATGGCTACAGTGCGAGGCAAAGATAGGTCTTGGAGATGGCAATGGCTCCACGAACTCTTGTTGGCTTATCCAATGCAACATTCAGAGGTTTATTTCAGGGATGTTTTTCATGAATAAAGTCTGGCTTGTTAAGTGGAAAAGTGGATATGAATGGATATGATATATTTGCAAAAATGAAGCTATGTTCACCACCAAAGTTTGCCCTGCCCCCCCAGCCTTCCAAAGCCCCGACATTGTGCGGGGGGGCGGGGCAAGTGTGTTACAAAGTGTTCAGAAAGAATCGGGGTTCGGCCACTGGACCCTTGAAGAAATCATGATTTCAAAGACTTTCGAGCTGTCACTTTTGGTGCCGACTCACTGTTTTCGGTCTGAGATGGCACGATTCTACAGTCTGCACACAAGTGTTTCATTAGTCCAAAAAACTAAACTTGTCTGAAATGCATTGGATGTTGCCAAGAAAAGTAGCCCACTACTACTCAACTGGCTTCAACTGGCGGTGAACGATGAGGGGTTCAAGTCCGAATTTTCATCAGGAGATGGAACCATGATCTGACTTTGCGGCTGTTACATGTTCCATCTGAAGCATCAAGGTCCTCCGGCAAGACCATGGTCAGCTGGGCAGGTGATCCAAAACCACCACTTCACCATGAGTTCAACCCCCAGGTCTCCAACAATGAAACGATGCTCCACAATAGCTTTAATATGCGCCAAAAAAAGAAGAAGTGAAACGATGGTGATTTTTTCCTGACAAAGTCCAAAGTCCAAGGCCTCCCGTTTGCTCATGTAAACCTTCATATTTCTGAATGGGAGACCATGTCTGATGCTAAGTTTTTCAAACACATCTTCTATGGTTGAAAAATGTTGAAAACACATATTTTGGATGAACCAATTCTGCTTCCAAGACGTTACAATCACGACCCTGGGGCTCTTCCGGCTCTTTGCTCCGCGGGTAAAGCGTAACGCGCGCAGCACCCAAGCACTAGGCCCGACCACTGTCGGAGTCACTTGAGTCACTACCTCGCCAAGGAGCAGCTAGTCCCACAGGTGTTCAACATCAGAGGTAGAAATGAAATCTTCAGTGTCTATTTTTGGTGGCAAAGCAAGTTTCATATGCTGTACATTGGTTGCTATTCATTTTTGGCAATGAAAGGTAAGTAAGAAATTTAAAGATATTCCCACGCGCAGATCTGGTTTAATTCCGATGATCGCCAAGTACCACCTAGCTTCAATCCAGCTGGAGTCTTAAAACGACCAAAAAGTAAATGTGGTTCTGCCACTTCAAACTATTGGTCATGTAGAAATATCTAAGACCTACCATACTGAAACAAACAATTATTTCTGTTTTTTTTTTGTGGCAGGCATACTAGACTTACTAGACCTTTCGAGACACTTGGAATGCAACTCCCGCCCGCACCTCAAGAATGCTGCAACATAGGAAAACATCACAAGATGGTAAAATCAACAAAGAACCGGCGACCCCAAAATGATATGTGATCAATTGGGACACTCCAAAAACACTTCATCAAACTTCGATAATTGATTCAGCCGTGAAAATTCATGGTACATTCTCCCAACAAAAAAGGGAACTGCATCGTCCCCATTGGATGCTGGGCTGTAAGACGTCTTAGAGACCTGATATTCATCTGGTGGTTGAGCCCTACCCCTCTGAAAAATATGAAAGTCAGTTCAGATTATTATTCCCAATGGAAAAATAAAAATCTTCCAAACCACCAACCAGTCCTTATTTGCCTGGGATATGTTGGGAAGTGTGCACCAGAAAAACTGACGAGGACTGTTTTTTTTTGCGGATCATCAGCCCAAATGACCACGAAAATCCAAGTCTTTGAAACAACCAGTCGTGTTTATCTATAGTTGATCTATAGCTTGGTTGTCATCTATGTTTGTGATTTTTTGTTGGTTTATCTATGACAAAAAAATGTTTGACCAACCCGTTCATCTATGGTCAAGCCGGCAGTCTCAAACAAGCAACTGGAGCTCTTCTTGCCTGGATTCAACGGAAGGTTGCAGACCCCAGCAATATCGTTCTGTCAATGGGGATACCCCGAAGATTGTCTGGAAAAGGAGCTTTGAAAGCATCCAATTTGGCAGTTTTCAAAGCCAGAAAAAAGTGGAATGTCACCATCAATGGCAAAGCAGGTGACTTTTGGGATGAAGAAATGTGCTGTGCATAGCCAACTTTAGTTGGTCATCGCTGTTGACTCCTCTGGATGGCTAAATTGGGGAGTCGAATATCATGTCCATAGAATTCATCGAATTCATTGTATAATGTTGCTTGAAAAAAATTGAAGAAGTTTGAACCCTTGCCATATTGCGGCGATGAAACACGAGATTTCGGGCGACTCTGAAAAAATGGACGAACGATTTCCGCCGTTCAGTTGTCGTCTGGCTACCTAGGGGGTGCATCCCAATTGTACCGTGAGTGCGCCATAACCCCGCAAATAAACCATATGTGTGTGGAAATGCTACACATGCAACTTGCTAACTTGGTTATAGTATGTTTATGACCCATTTAGTCCGTGGGAGGTACATCCAAGTCGAACCAACAAACCATGTGGTACAAGTTTTACGATTTACCCTCTGGTTATTTAACATAGCCATGGAAAATGGCCCATTTATAGATGGTTTACCTGGGTTTACCTATGAAAAATGGTGATTTTCCATGGCTATGTTAGTCATAACCAGATGGTATTCCACCCGGTATGGATTGTGATCCATATGAAGCCGCCTTGTCACGACGTGGTTTTTTTGGACTACGGTCATCCATCAATGGGAATCCTGCGATGTATAAGCCCCTGTTCATGGTGAGGTAGGCTCTCTCATCTCTTGATCATGACACATATGGATACGTGGACTGGAGTGCCTTTTAGTGCAAAGTGGTGTTATGCAGTTTGATCAATGGCCATGCAACAGGATCCGATTGATTGGAGTTACCGATTCCATATATAAGGCCTATGTAAGGCCTAATTTCAGGGAATATCCCCACAAAATATGGCCTTATATGGTACAGTAGCTCCATTTTAGGATCCTGGAATTCCCATTGATTTGAGTTTCATGTCGGTTTCATGAGACTCACCAGGTGAAACTCCACCCGGCTATCTACCAGGTGCCTTCAAACCTACATTGTTGATTTGTTTCCCTGAAATAAATGGGTATGGATCCAAAATTCAGACCTGATGGACCAAATATTAAGAAAACTATCTCTAGTATTAACCATCTGATTATTGGGCTACCCAATGACTTGACCCATGCCCAAATCTCAAATTCACAGCTTACAGAAAGGTTCCGTGGTTCTGCCAAGTAACGTTTCTTACCCTTTCGCTTCTCTTTTCCTTTCCGCTTTTCCTAGCCGAAGCGCTGAGATGACGGAATCTGCTGGTGTTGCTTCGTGATTGTAGTTTGGGGTTGATATACATGTGTAGTAGGATGTTGTAAAGATTTTGAAAAAAATATTAAACCCTACAGGATCAGTGGTTTAATAGTTCTCTTCCCAATAATAACTCCATGATGTTATTTGCACATTTCTTCCGGGCATAAATCGGTTCAAACCACCCACACGCACACTCTGACCTGCATTGGGTATGTCTAAAGAGATGATACCTCTAAATCCACTGGTTTATGATAAAGTACAACAATTCATAAACCTCAAATAAGACCTTTTAAAACTTTTGGGGATAGTGACCCTATCTACATACTGTATATATAACCTATATATTCAAATACATGTGTATATATACTAGTCAGTATTCGTGTATATATATATACTAATTGAATATTCATATATATATATATCATATATATATATATTATCTCTATTTCTATATATATACACACCATATGTATATACACCATATATATATAATTATATATATATACTATATCTATCTCTATAAATATATATATATACACCATATGTATATACACCATATATATATAAGCACCATCTATATGTATACAGTATGTATATATATATTTATTTACATACATACATATACGTACATATATGTACATACCATCTATATGTATATATATACCATCTATACATATATATATATATATCATGTGTATATACATGTACCATCCTTTACTAAGCATAATTCCAGTCAGGTCGCAGTGAGGTCGTTATAACTCACCCAGATACATATATACATAGACACAATCTATGTGTATATATATATATATATTATACACACACACACAATCCTTTACAGTGACGTCGCAATGACGTCATCCCATGCCACTCCTTCCGCTTCCGTTCGGGCTCGCTCCGGCTGCGGCTACGATCCCGAAGGGGCGACCTATGCGAAGCCGCAAGCGAAACCACCTTTTTTGGGATGCATTTTTTGGTCATTTTCCATGGCGATGTTCAAGTACCTAAGTACCAGAGGGTTAACCCTTTTTTCCCCACCTGCCAGGTGAGGGTTGTTAGATTTTATCAGAGCGCATGCCCGCCGCTTCCTCCTCCTCCTCCGCCTCCTCCTTCTCCTCCTCCTCCTCGACTAGCTGTCCTCCTCGCCCTCCTCCTCGCCTCCGCCTCTTCCACCTCCACTTCCGCCTTGCCAACCTTGCCAACTCGTTGCCAAGCTCTTCGCCAACTGCCCAGCTCAGTGCGCACTGCTGGACGTCAACCTGCGAGCTGCCCAGCTCAGTGTGCACCGCTGGACCTCAACCTGCGAGCTGCCCAGCTCAGTGTGCACCGCTGGACCTCAACCGGGGACCTGCCCAGCTCAGTGTGCACCGCTGGACCGGGGACCTGCCCAGCTCAGTGTGCACCGCTGGACCTCAACAGCCAGATAGAATGCCAGAAGATATGCCAGATAGAATGTCAGATAGAATGCCAGAAGATATGCCAGATAGAATGCCAGAAGATATGCCAGATAGAATGCCAGAAGATATGCCAGATAGAATGCCAGAAGATATGCCAGCCAAACTGCCAGAAGATATGCCAGAAGGTATGCCAGATAGAATGTCAGATAGAATGCCAGTAGGTATGCCAGATAAAGTGCCAGAATGTTTGCCAGATAGAATGCCAGAAGATTTGCCAGATAGAATGCCAGATAGGATGTCAGAAGATATGCCAGAAGATATGCCAGATAGAGTGCCAGAAGATGTGCCAGAACAGATTGCAGAAGATATGCCAGATAGAATGCCAGAAGATATGCCAGATAGAATGCCAGAAGATATGCCAGATAAAATGCCAGAAGGTATGCCAGATAGAATGCCAGAAGATTTGCCAGTAACAAAATGTATAAATGTCATGGTGGGGATAACTCGAAGTAAATTAATTTTAAAGGTAAATCATCGACGAACTAGATGATTTACAATGGGCCATGGCTATGGTTTTCCACATCTGCTGCACCTCACCGGCGATGCGGACGCACTCCGCGGCACCTCGCGGCGCCGCGCCGGCGGCGCCTCGCGCCGTGGCGCGTCGCGCGGCGCGTCGCGCGGCGCGTCGCGACGGCGCTCCGGGGACAGCGAGGGGAGGGCCACGCCACGCTCCCACTTTCCTGGGAATCGCGACAGGTTGATGCACAGAAACTAGGTCCAGGTGAATTCTATGGTCAAAGCAGGTTATAACTGGGGCACCATGTAGGAGATTCAAGGGAGAATGGGATAGCCTGAAATCTAGAGGACAAACCAACAATGGAGATTTAACTAGGAACCCATTATTTGGGGATATCATGGGAATCTGATGGTAAACATGGGATATATAGTTGGAACACATACAATGTGAGGCCCCCCAGTGATGTGAACGTTGGTTTAGATTCGCCCCAGTAACTAGTTCGTTATTTGCGTACCATAAACCATAGTGAAATTGGAGTTATGTGAACCCCAACTGAACGCTATCCAACGGGGGCCAAAAACATTGTAGGGATATGCTCATCCCCAAACGACACCATCCAAGGTCATCAGGCCATCCACGGGATTTAAATGGCCGGTCAAAGGACCATTTTCCGGGGTCTTTTGCCAGAAAAGTATGGGAAATAAAAATTTGGGTGTGGTAAATTTTCTTGGTGAATTCACAAAACTATGGAACATATGGTTTTTGTTTATTGAATTCCCCCAGTTTTTTTGGGGGGGACCACATTGTACCCCGATCTTCAGGTGTTCGCCAGGTGTCCATCCAACATATCACGGAGGAACTGCCTGGAACCGCCACGGGCGTCCTCAGCTGTGAAACCAGGTGACCCACTGAAAACACCAGGGTAGCCTGCGGGAAAAACGTACAAAAAGAGGTGGAAAACTCCATGGTTTTTGGAAAATGACAAATGGTAGGTTTTCTACTGATTTTCCACTAATCTTAATTTACAGAAGGATAAATGTTGGTCAGAAATGTTGCCAACACATCCACATCCGAAGCAAATTTATGGGATGCCGAGAATTTGGGAGATGACCCTTGTTGAGAAAGACGTAATATATATATATTATATATATATGTATGTGTATGTATGTATGCATGCATGCATGCATGCATGGATGTATGGATGTATGGATGTATGGATGTATGGATGTATGTATGTATGGATGTATGGATGTATGGATGTATGGATGTATGGATGTATGGATGTATGGATGTCTGGATGTATGGATGTATGGATGTATGGATGTATGGATGTATGCATGCATGCATGCATGCATGGATGTATGAATGTATGTATGCATGCATGTATGTATGTACGCATGTATGTATGTGCATGTAATAACAGAAGTCAATAATATCTATGCCTACTAGTATATACATATATCATATAAATATTATTGTATATATATATAATCATATATATATGTAGCATGATCACAATGTGTATGCTTGCATGCTGCCCACACATACTGTACCATGTCATCCAGGCATCGTCGTCGCGATTTTCGCCTTCTTTGCTTTTGCCTTTGCCATCGCCCTTTCCTCTCGGGAGAAACCCGGAGCGTTGAAGGTCAAAGCCAACATTTCAATGTTTAGCTGGTGATTGGTTGGGGATTCATGGTGATTAAGCAAAAAGTTAGGTGGATTCATGATATAAGTATATCATACTATATCTGGTTGGTGGTTTTAACCATCTTGAAAAATGTGAAAGTCAATGGGAAGGATTATCCCATATATTATGGAAAATAAAAAATGTCAGAAACCACCAACCAAATATCTATGATATGATCTAGATAAATTCACAATGATCCCGGCCCCCGATCATGGCTAAATATCCCTTTGAATGGGCCCAACAAAAATGTTCATAGATCCACTCCTAAACCATGGTTTGGCTGGGGAGGTATTTCATGTGAATGGGGATCAGGGCCCAGCAGACAGAGTTTTACCAACTGTAGATATATCATGATATATCATGATATATCTACCATGAAGCAATTTACCCTCTGGAAACGTTTACATAGCTATAGAAAATCACCATTACTAATGGGTAAATCAACGAACTAAATGGTAATTGTCAATAGCTATGCAGCTTAATTTATACTTTACCAGAGGGTAGCTTTTTCCTTGGGGCCCTACATTTTCCATGGCTAGCTGGGGATCATCAGATCATCATTTCCCCTCTGAAAGCTGTGGAAATGCCATGATTCTATACCCATCAAATGGTTATCTATTAATGGGATATATATATATTTATGTTTATCAAACAATAATGGTTAATATATGATTAATGATGATTAATAATAATCTGGTCGGTGGTTGAGCCCTACCCCTCTGAAAAATATTAGAGAAATCGTCAGTTGGGATGATGAAATTCCCAATATGATGGGAAAAAGAATCCAAATGTTCCAAACCACCAATCAGTGATTCTATACCCATCAGTGAAAAGCCATCAGTCTGTGGTTTTTCCACCCTCATTTTGCTGTGAAAAACCCCGGTGTTGAGCTCCAACGTTTTCGGATCTGTCGGTCATAGCTGTTGTGAGTCAGTTTGATTCAGTCGGATGTCCCCCGGTTGTATATGGGTTATATGGATTATCAACACTTATAAATGGGGTGCATGTCCAAGTGGAACTATTCTGAAAGCGTTTGATTTGGACCATCTAATTGATCGTACATGCTTCTCTTGGCGGCTGCAGCATGTTTTGACCAATCAGATTGCCAAACGATGTCAATGATTGGGGCTCGAGGGGCCTTACAACGCATGCCACATGTACACTGTACACAGGAATAACTCTAATCCCATCAAACAAGAAACGATCCATGGGCCTCTGAAGCTGATAGAGATGAAATTGGATATAACGAATGATTCTGTGGGGAGAACCATCACTTTCATGCCATCCACTCGCAGCGTGCGGCCAGGGCATTTCGAAGTTTTCATCCTTGGAGGCTCGGGTTTGTTTCAACCGCGGTACAACTCACCGACACCGCGGCAGAAATGCCATTCGGCATGATGCCAGCGCTTCGTTGGTTCCATATCCTGAAAGCGACTTTGGCAATACAACTTGTTCATCTTGGACATGGCAAGCTGCTTTTTTTGTTGGATTCAATGTTGCTTCACTGGAGACCCGTTTGACACAGAGTTCTTTTTCCATCATCCCCGTTGCTGGTTGTTTTCCACAAGGTCCAAGGAGGGGGATGGCCATAGAAATAGTGAGTTTTCCCACTAAGAATGGTGATGTTCCAGTTCGCTATGTTAAAATACCAGAGGGTAATTCTCCAGATTGTTATCCCATAAATTGTCCCATGGTCATCCCATAAATCTCCTACTCTATGTAATCATGAATGTATTCCATTCTTATATCGCATTATATCACATTAATGTCATTATCATATATCCAGTTAACGCATTTAATCTCAGGCTTATAATTATTCCATTATTGAACTATACTATGCTGGGATATGCCAATCACATGTCTTGTATCCATAACCATACCAGGGATATAATACAAACTATCATATCCATATGCATATGTATATATATATATGTATACATGTATATCCCGTTTGGCTTTACCAGAGACAGTAGTCCCATTGATATGCCATTAACATGGGATTTTTTTAGCACCAAAAATTGGTTCATAAACCACAGAGATTTCACCAAGTTTGATTTGAGCAGTGTTCCAAGACGCCTGTTGGTTGATGATCATGTAGCTGAAAAAATACTACCCTTGATATATTGGGAATTAAGTACCCTCTGGTAATTTAACATAGCTATTGAAAATGGCCATTTACAGTGAGTTTTCCCATTAAAAATGATGATGTTCCATAGTTATGTTAGTTTACCGGAGGGTAATACTCCAATAGGAAATTTTATGGAATGACATTTCGGGATTTTGAACACTGTTCACTTGGGGGGTTCTGAAGTCATGGGAGATCCCCAAGTCACCATGGCTTTCGAGACACAGTCATGGTCATCCATGACTTAGATTTGGGGGTACCCTCATGACAAAGCGGAAATCCCTAAGACTGGGTGGTTTATGATGTTGCTTTACTAACATCATTCACCACCATTAAACATCATGATTAATCACACTATTAAACATTATAAACCACCATTTGGTTACCAGAGGGTAAATCAATCTATAGATTTATAGATGATATATCCCATCTATATCCCTATATTATATCGCCATGAAATCTCCATAAATAATAGGATAGGATTGGATATAATAGGGCCTAATATGTATAAACTATGATTTACGGACAGGTATAAACTATGATTTACGGATAATATGGGATAATATGGGATAATATGGGAGGATTTGCGGTATATCCCATATTATCCTACAAAAAAATCACCAGTAAACCCCCGTCCGACCGTCCCCGTCCTTTGGACCGCTCGCCGGCTGGAGCCACTTTCAGCTTCCGTCCCTGGAGACGCTGTGGTTACCCTCTGGTTATATATGTCAAACAGTTTGCTACTGAAAATGGCCCAGTCGAAATAGTTGATGACTAGCCAATGAAAATATGGAAAATTGACTTAACAAAAAAATGACTTAACTTGCATTAACTTGGTATGCCGTTACTTGGTTTTTGCTGTTCAGTAACTCACAAACAAATTGGAGTTGATGAAGTACTGCTTGCTGTTTTTTTTTGTGAGAAATCAATCTGCTTTGCATCGCAAGTCATTTTTTTCATCATCCCAGCACTGGTTGGTGGTTTTTCGCCCTAGCCCTCTGAAAAATGATGGAGAAATCGTCAGTTGGGATGATGAAATTCCCAATACTAGGAAAAAATATGTATATATATATATATATTATATGTGGAAAAAATGTTCCAAACCACCAACCAGCTAAGATGGTGTTACTACCAGATTCATGACTTTCACTTGGCTGATCAACGTGGTCTCGAAGGGAAAAGCCACAGTTCTTACAGATGTAGGAGGTGTAACCCAACAGCGAGATCTCCAACTAATACAAAGATATACATCACTGGTAAGCGCAGGTCGAGAAGATCTCTGCGTTTCCATCTCGGCATGCAAGGTGGCCCTCCCTAGATAGCAAAATTCATTGGTTTTAACGTGTTATAGCTATTTAAACTAGGAGTTATGGTAGATATCTCTACAAATAATGCGACCAACAAATATCACTGGCATCACCTTGTGGCCGATCCCAGATATCGTTTTGGGATATCTCAGGTCAAACATGGGTACCCCATATTTTTTTTACCCATCTGCACAACAAATGATGGGTTCTAGATCCCCATAGTGGTTGAATCTGGAATCTCAACTCAATGATCGAGGTCGTCGACAGTCAAGAAAAACATCGTTGTCCCTTACAAAGGTTCCCACATGATCAGCCATCTATCGCGATTTGATGTTCCCATCCAATTTTGCTGTGGCTTGAAACTCCAGCTGTATATATATATATATATAGAGGTATGTATATGTAAAAAAAGGCGAGAACACGTATTTAAGAAATCATAATAATCAGAATATGGTTGTGCATTATGTACCTATCAGTAGCTTATATGAGTAATATATAAGTGTATTACCCTCTGGTAAACTAACATAGCTATTGAAAATACCCCATTTATAGTTGATTTACCCATTGAAAACGGTGATTTTCCATAGCTATGTAAACGTTTACCAGAGGTTACGTGTCCCAAAAGAAAGTAGAGTGTACTACATTTTTTTTTAAACTTATATAACTATATATTACTGGGTTATATTAGATATATATATATATATACTACAGTGTGAGGCCCCCAAGATAGCTAAGTTGGTTTATAACTCCAATAACTATGGTTTATGGTACTTATAACTATAGTTACTGGGGCTTATAAATCAACTTATAACTGGGGAGGGGCCACATTGTATATATCAGTGGTTTATACTCCAGTTTGAGACTCCTGAAAAAACTCCAGATGCCCCACGCCCAACAAATCTACCTGGAGGATCCCCATGTAGGACCATGGAGAACTCCTCCAGGAACTATCACTACGATTACCCTCTGGTAAACTAACAGTTTGCGAACTGGAAAATTGCCATAGAAATAGTGAGTTGTCCCATTAATAGCATGGTGATTTTCCATAGTTATGTAAACGTTTACCAGAGGGTACCACTTGTGACATCATAGTTTGGTAGATAAATACCATAATACCCGTAAAATCCCAACAAAATACTGAACAAAACACAAATCTATGCGTCCAAACATAACGCTAATAATAATCCGAAAAGAGTGTTACTCATAATATGTGTGTATATAAGTGTGTATATATATATACAAGCACGAGTGGTTTCTAGGCCCTAAAGAATCACTAATACAACTGGAGTATAATATGGTTGTGTATTACCCACCCAATCTAACTGCGATGATTTCTTCATAATGACAATAATATTCTGAAAAAATGCTGGTTATGTACACATAGCCCAAAAAAATAGAAAACTGGTAGAATCCTACTAAAATGTTCCTAAATTCAACCCGATCTATCTTGTTGACTTGTTGGGGGTTACTATATATGACTATATGCATAACAAGCAATTCTCATTATAATATGATGATATATGATGAGCATTATCTAAAAGTTGCCATCATATCCTTATATGTTGACATGATCACAACATCAATATAATATCAAAGTATAAATTGAAGAATCTTAAAGAAAATCTTAGCTAGGGTATAACCATAACAATTCAGTTATGAATTGAACATGGACACACTTAATCTGCGGGTTTAAGATTAACTAGGACTTTATGTCACAGAAACAGAAACCAGATCTTATCACTAAGATAACCACAAAGTCGATGTTAACCATTAAGATACACCCTAAAGTCTGAAAATAAAAAAACTTAAGATTAATCATAAAGTTTCACCATGGTAATCTGTTGGCAATATTGAGATAACTTCGCCATCAATGATCATTGAGACAAACTATTGTTACTTTGTCAGTGTTAGTCCTCATCATGTTGGCAACATTTTTAGATACACAGCATCTTATCTAACATAAGCAACTATCACAAGCAACTATATTGGTATCATAAGCAAGAACCATTAAACAAAAATGGGATCAGATACACCATTGAGATTCTGATCCACATGGGTTTCTGGGTCTTTTCACCCGGCGTACCACCCTGGACAACCCTTTCTTGTTCACATCAAAATAGCTGGGATCTATAGATGTTCCCTAACAAATTGGATCTATAGCTATTGATCCATGATATCTACCTTAAACTATAGAACTCACTACTCATTATTCACCAATAACTATATCTATAACTATTGAGATTCTTACTTGTGATTTATATGTGCCATATAATAGTTATACTGGTCATACAACCATGGCCAATCTTAGATACCCTGCAAAAAAAATACAAACCCTTAGCTGGTGAACGTAGATAATCCCATTGATACCCAAAGACTATTTTGGATTAGTTTCTACCCATCCAAGATTGACCTAGTATTATTGATGCATATAACTATTATAAATATTATATGGCACATATGCACAGTATATGGCTAGTATAACTATTATATGGCTAGTAAAACTATTAGATGTCTAACCATATAACTATTGATTATTAACTATAGTAATTGGCTAATAATTGTAGATATAATATATTAATACCTATAGTTATTACAGTAACAATAACTATAAATTTATAACTATAGCTATATAATGCTATATATATACCATGGTTGATTCTGTCTTTAACTATAATTATTCACTATTACAGTTATTTATAACAAACTATAGTTATTCACTATAACTGTACATCAAGTTATTCACTATTATTGTATATAGTTATTTACCATTATAGTGATTTATAATCCGTGTAACGATCACTATCATAATAATTATAACTATAGTTATTTATCAACTATAATCGTGAAAAACTAGCATTGCCAATCTTAGATACCCTGCAAAAAAAAAATCTTTGCTGGTTAGTAGATATTCCCATTAATACCAAAAGACTAAAGGATTAAAGTATGCATGTAAGATTGAGCTAGCTATAATTAACTAATGTTCAAGTTTATAATTTGATGCTTCCGTGCGCCTTGAACATCTCGCCCGACAGGCCACAGGCGCGTCGCGCCGCCATGGCGGAGTCGAAGACCACGAAGGCGATGCCCTGAACGAAGGAACGTTTCTCCGAGGGGAACCATGGCCCAAACCATGGAAAGCCACGGAAAAACCATGGAAAACCAAGGCCAAAAACTCGGATAAATATGGAAAAAGGCTAGGTTTAGCTGGGAAAATGGGGATTTAGCTGGGAAAACATGGTGATTGAACTGGGAACACATGGTCAATTTGGGTGGGAAACATGGTGATTTAGCTGGAAAACATGGTGAAAGTTGGAATTGAACTAGGACAAACTGAGATTTAACTAGGAAATTGTTGGGATATCATGGGGATATCGCAAAATGTGTGTCAACAACATGATGTTTTTGGGCGTTTACTAAGGAATCCCCAGATGGTGAGTCCCGATGTCATGGGGGACCCCCAGATCATCCAAGGTGCATTTCACCAGCAATAAATTGCAGCGGAAACAGTTGGAGTTGGAAAAAAATTGGTGAATTGTGTTGAAAAGTTAGAATGTGCAAACAAAAAAACGAAGAACACTGAGGAGAATTGAATTGATTCCTGGGAATAAAAACAACCACTAATGGTAATCAACCGAATCACAAATGATTATGGTAATGAGATGGTAAATCCACCTGATTCTATCAACAAAAGTAATGATTTTACCACCACTAATGGTGATTCCACATGATTCTACCAATACAAACTGCGATCTTCTAGGACTTGGAATGCTACCGACAAACAGGATTATTTGACCAAGCAGGAAACACACAAAGAAGGTAGGGAAAATCTACCATCAAACATGGAGGTTGCATAGAGATAAACATGTGCCATGTGAGTGTTTTTAGACATCATTCAATGTGAATTTGATGAGCAAGAATTGCGATTGATTTAATTCAACCAACTAAAATGTCGATTTTACCTGGCTTATTTAAGGTTTTCTTAAACTGTTCACGTCTTCTTTCAAGCAAGTTTCTATGTTGGAAGCAAGGGAAAAGTGGTTATGGACTCATTTTCTTACTGGTGCGTTTTACGCAGGGAATTTTCGGGAATCATCCCAGTCATCACTATCAATAATAATCCCAGCAACCCCCAGCAACCCATCCAGCAACCCTACGTAAAACGCACGCACCAGTAAGAAAATGGGTGTACCCTCTGGTAAACAGCCACATAACGAACTGGAAAATCACCATGTTTCATGGTAAAAAAACACTATGTCTATAGCCATGTTCAAATAGTAGAAAATAGTGATGGACATGGCTATAGAAATAGTGATAAAAATACTATAACTATATATGGAAAATCACTATTTCTATGGCCATGTTCAATAGCTTTTTGTATGTTTTTGTTGCCAGACACCGCGGTCTGGTAAATCCGGAGCAACATCTCGGCCTTCACGGCTTTCCCTCCGACCTCTTGTTGTCCAGGAAAGCGGACCTCCACGGGACACGGGGCGAACTGCAAGGAGCACACGAACCACGTGGAAGACACATTTCTCAAACAAAGGGTAGATGAGGATTGATGGGATATAGATGGGATATATCATCTATAAATCTATAGATTGATTTACCCTCTGGTAACCACATGGATCCAAATGGTGGTTTATAATGTTTAATAGTGTGATTAATCATGATGGTTTATGGTGGTGTATGACGCTAGTAAAGCAACAAATCTTAACCACCCAGTCATGGGGAGTGTCCGCTTTGTCATGGAGGTACCCCAAATCATACTAACATTTTCCATCACTTACATAGAATTGAAATTCATGGTGACTTCGGGATCCCCCATGACTTTATTTTTAAAAAATAATAAGATGGTTTGTGGATGTGGGAAGTGCATGCTTGGAAGTTGAGCTTTGATCTGTGTTCTTTTCTGTTGATTGTTGTGCTTTTTTGGGGAGACGTTACGCTCAAGTTTAGTCTTCTTGCTTGTGTGTGTGTGTCTTCGTTTTAAACAGGGGGTTCTGTTTTGTTGCTGTTGTGGGCAACCTCCAAAAAGATAGAAAGGTGAAGTCGTACACAGTGTGAAAAAAATCGCTTCTGTCTTGTGTAGGTTACCATAAAGCTGGTATAACGTCAACCCCGGAGTAAAAAAGATACTTAATTAGAAGGGTTATCCCAAAATCATCATTATAAGTAGGTATAGTGATCTTCTCCATTACTGTTACTATCACTCTTTGAATTCCCATAGACTATACAAGTACAGTACATTATAAATAGTTGGAAATCAATAATCGGAATCATTCCAGTTGAATGATTCATGATGCTATCACTATTATATTCAATTGGAATGATTGCCATAGACTATGGCTATTACTATTATATAATACATTCCTGAAAACATATATTATCATTATACTGTAGTACTATTTCTTTTTCTTTTCCTACAATAAGTATACTATATCACATAAAATTACTAATGTGGTACAAACAATAGTAAACCACCCATTTGGGAATGGTTTATACCACCTATAAAAATGGTGATTTGGGGGATAGTTTATGGCATTGTTGCACCCACATTACATTCCAATTGTAGCTATTGAAAATTGCGATTTATAGTTGATTTACCTATCAAAAATGGTGATTCTTCATAGTTATGTTAGTATACCACAGGGTATATCCATATGAATCCCGTTAATCACTAGAAAATAGATATATCAGTCACTATTGATGGATATCAACAGCTATGTTACCCTCTGATAAACTAACATAACTATGGAAAATCACCATTTTCAATAGCTATTTGGACATAACCAGAGGGTACATTCCAATTGAATTTGGTGATCTTCCCTCGTTCCGTTGGCTTCGCCTCCTCCACGTGGCCGCAGTCCTGAAAGAGACCCAACAAATCTGCCTGCGACGCAGGAGCCAGGTCTACCGGACAAGCCCGGCGACTGGCTGAGCTGAACTGGTTTATCATGGTTTATAACAAAACATAACTGAAATGATTCATGTCTGTGTATATATAATTACATAAATATATCATAATATAATAATATAATAATATCATAATATAATAATAATATAATAATATAGTAATATAGCAATATAATAATATAATAATAACATAATAATAAACGACAGATGGCGATGGATCAATACTTATACCCTGTGGTAAACGTTTACATAACTATGAAGAATCACCATTTTTGTTAGGTAAATCAACTATAAATCAACTGGGCCATGGCTTCAATAGCTATTTGACATAACCAGAGGGTTACCATTTTGTTAGGGCGATGAAGATCCAAAAATCCCAGCGATTTTGATGTTTCGCTGAGATTTTTGTTGTTGCTTTCTCCGAAACAATTTCTGTAATGCTGCTGAATTCCCATGAATCATGATGATCATGAATCATGATGGTGCAGTCCCATGAATCATCCTGGTTAAACCATGTGAAACCTCCAGAACATTTAAGCAATTTTTGATGGTTCAACCGCCACGCCTTCTCTGTATCGTACTCCAAGCCGCCCACAAAACCTCCAGCGGGACAAAATCAATGGGAGATCTCCAGGATCCTAAAATGGAGGTACTGTACCATATTTTTGGCCATATGTTGTGGGGATATCCCCTTACATAGCCCTAAAAAATAGGCCAAAAATATATGGAATCGGTACCTCCGTCCTCAATCGGTTCCTGAAGGTCTCCCATTGACAAAAGAGTGTCCCAGAAAAGTCTTGTACAAGACTGGTGGACTCACTCAGTATTTGCCGCAAAGGCAAAAAAGGTGCTTTATCTGAACATCAATCTGAAAATCCAGAACCAGAGGAGATTTGTGGAGCAAAACGACTGTCTCAGAAGAGCAGCTTTTTTTCCAAGGACCTAAAAGGAGCGTCCAACACGGGAGTGTCCAACAACGATGGGGATGGCAGCAGCATAAAAAAGAAAAAAACAGCTAGCTGCAGCTAGCTTTTATGTTTCTCTCAACCCCATAGAATCATATTGCTTGGTGGTTTCAACCCAAAAAAATATCAGTCAGTTGCAGATCATCATCCAATTGTTATGCTTGAAAAAAGGATGTTGGAATCCGCCAGTCATTGACCATGCCATTTCTGCTCATCATGGCGAGCTGAGTCAGTTTATCCATGCTTCATCCCATCTGAAGTCCCAAAACAGCTTCTGGAAATGGTGTGTTTAATCAGTTTTGATCCATCCCATTGTTCATGCTTACCATCTGGTTATGACATTCACACTTCGCCATGGTTTTTCGCTGGCCCTAATCGAAATAGATGGTGACTACCGAACTTAAAAATGGTGGATCTTTCCATGGCGAACTGTGAATGTCATAACCAGATGGTAAGCCATGTCCCATGATCCCATGAGGTGCCTCAGTCATGGGGGATCCCCAGTCGGACTGGGTGGTTTATGATGTTGCTTTACTAACATCATGATCACTATTATTTTTTTAAAAAAAAACGTATAAATCATTTACTCATCATTTACTAGTGATTAATAGTGATTAATCATTTACTAATCATTAACCATCATGATTAATCACTATTATATATACCGTATAAACCACCATCTGGTTGCCAGAGGGTATATCAATCTACAGATTTATATGATATTCCATCTATATCTTATATTATCCTGTAAATTATATCACCATGACATCTCCATTAATAATAGGATAGGAAATATAATAGAATGATATGCAATGTGGGTAAAACAATGCCATAAACCATACCCCAGTCATCACCATAAATAATAGGTGGTATGGTTGCGAGTGGTCTATTAACATTACCATTATTCACATATGTATCATTATATTAGAGTTAATCATAGTACCTTCTTATTAACCAAAATTAATTATAAACCATTAGTTAATTTCATATACAGTAATTTCCCACTATATGATATTTACTATACATATACATATACATACATACATATATAATATACCATATTAGCCATGGTTATTCAGTTATTATGTGATAGTATGGGATAATAAGCCTGGTTGATATAACATTATCTAAAACCACTACTATTACCTATTAAGCATTATATAATAGTTTATACATATCATATCATCCTAGTATACTTAATCATAGTACCTTCTTATGATTAACCAAAATTAATTATTCACCGGATGATATGTATAAACTATAATTTACCATCATTTACCATGAATGATTATTGAGTGATAATAAGCCTGGTTAATATCCCATTCTCTAAAACCACTATGAACCATTAATCCTCCATGGATTTCGCTTCACCCAAGGAACAGGTGGCTTCTTCCTTGGCCAGGCGCTTGGCAGCTTGCACCGGATCCGCCGCGTCCTGCCCGTTGTTTTGAGGGGCTGTCACCAGAGGTCTTTTTGAAGATTGTTTTTTTTGGGGAATGTTTAGAGTTGTTTGGGGAATTTATAGGGAAATTATAGCGATTCAATTATAGGTAACCATGGTGATTTATGGGGAAATTATAGGGAATTTATAGGGATTCACGGAGATAGTGGTTTCCAGGATTATCACAATGAGGTTCTACGAATTTCTGGGGATATTTCGGTGACAGATGATCTCATTTGACTACCGGTGCTTGTCATTGGGAATCATCATCCGATTTCTATGGTAGAAAAACAGTAGTGTGTGTTAATTATGAATAGTAATTTGCCTATCATATATACTATCATTGGTATATCACCCTATTCGGCACCATGTTATTGTTATATCTTTAGCGAAAATGTCATGAATACCGTGGTTTATCTACAAACAATCGTCTTTTTTGTGTGCGTGGTTACCAATGCTGACTAATCCCATCATCAAGAATGATTTACCGCGAAGATCCTTGAACTTTCAACACTATTCACTGGTTGGTGGTTGAGCCTACCCCTCTGAAAAATATATGAAAGTCAGTTGGGATGATTCTTCCCGATATATAGAAAAATAAAAAATGTTCCAAACCACCAACACTATTCATTTTGATAGCTGCGAATTTATTCCGCCATCCATTTTGATAGATGTAGCGCCACATCTGTCACTATTATCATCCATGAAGCCCAGAGCGATTCGGACTAGTTGGTGGTTTCTTCTCGAATCTCAAGAAAAGGGAAAACCTTTCAGAGCACCAGATTCGTTTCAGATATCAATGTCCAGGTCATCCAAATTTGGGTATCTGGGTCTGGAAATGTTGAGAAAAGCCAAACAAAATCTGCTAGTGAGCCAACATTCAAATGGCATAACTCGGGTGCTGCCTCCCAGTTATGTTGGTTTATCAATTCCATCATCTATAGATATGTACCATAAACCATAGATTTCACCGAGCCAAACCAAGTGAAGCAGATCATTCTTCAGACAAAATCACCTATGACTCCCCATGTGTTGCCAGAAAATAAAAATATCCTAACGGCATTCTTCGAACATTTCCCCCCATGTTTGCTAGGTAAATTTCCCCACAAACCCTGTCAGTTTCCCTCATCTTCGATGCATTAATTCCCACAGCTATGGTCCAACTAACACTTGTAAATGGGTTTATTTCATGATTTATGAACCAACTAGTTTAATAGGAGCTAGTTCCTTCTATTTATAACATGTATTAACATGTTATAACAGTTATTTCATGATATATAACCAACTAGTTATAGGAGCTAGTTCACGTCGTAAAAATAACGGGCCTCGCAAAGGGCGCTCTCCCTGACCGCCCCGCTTCAAACCTGGTCGATACTCTGGACCTCGCGCATCAAGTCTCTTTGCTGCCGCTCAAGCTCTTCGATCCTGGGCAGTCCTATCCGGATGTTGAAAATGCTGTGAAATGATATTGGATGCCCTCTGGTTATGTCAAAATAGCTATTGAAAATGGTCCAGTCGAAATAGTTGATTTAGCCATTAAACATGATGATTTTCCATAGGTATGTTAGTTTACCAGAGGGTAATGATGTGGGATAGACACCATTGTCATATGGAGATGTAAAATCGTATGGAGATGTAATGAATGGGATACATGTAACATATGGAATACATATCATGTGTAATATCCATTTCAGTCCTAACATGTAACCTATGAAAATAGTGTGAAATGTTATTGGAATAATGAAAGCACCTTGATATGTAAGATGCAATATCCTCAATATTTCAGATGTAATACGTTGAGAATGGTGTGAAATGATATGGGAATAATGATGTGGGATAACACCGTTGTCATAATGGAGATGTAAAAGTATAGACAATGACAATAGGTAGGGATACATAGGTAGCAATTCTAACTATTAATGACAATGATATGGGATACATATCAATAGTGGTATAATATATTTAAGATGATGTGTGTGAGTATATATATATAAGAGATATGTGTATCCCTTATAATGTGATAAACCCAATGCCATGAACAATCCTGAAGTCATCATCATTTCGATGAATGATTAAAACCGTCCCCAAATCGTAGGTTCATGGCATTGGGTTGCCCACATTAGTCGGATATGTTGCTTCATTTGTTTTTACCATATAGATATATAAATCAGCAAAAGGTGGGGAGACCACTCTCAGAACAAATGGAGATGTAAGCAACTACCATCGTGATATACTTTCCGGTGACGCAAACATGGCAACAGAAAATCCTCGATTTCGCCGATGTTCCAGATGTTCCATTGCTATATCATAGATACCCCGAGACATGGGAATTCCCCGAAAAAATCGCCGGGTTGGTTCACCAAGAGCGTTCCCAGACTTTTCTTTCACAAACAGCGCATGCCAAAGGGGATCCAAAAGGTGGTATTTGAACCCAGACAATGGATATAGGTCACAATCATCCCAACATATCCCAAGATGGCGATACCATGATTTAAGAACACCAGTAACTAACTACACTATGCTTGAATCCCCTAAAAATCATACTTAAAGTCATGGGAAATGCCTAAGATCATTCATCCGGTCCAAGTGACTGCGATCTCAGATTCACCCGAACCTGGGACGCCAGTTTTTTCAGAGGTCCCAGGTACTTGCGGAAAATCGTTGCGTTTTTCCGCGGAAAAAAACAAGCAAAACTAGGGTGAAACAGTACCATTTCAGTATCATTTTTGAAACAGTGCCATTTCATCATTTGTTCGCTCGGTGTCAGGTTTACGATGAACATCATGCAGAATTCGATCAAAGAACTACACACTTGAAGCCAATCAGCAAGGAGTTTTGTGTGCAGGTGCCATTCCAGTCACCATGGCATTCCCAATTTTTGTGGAGGTTGATGGGGGTGTTAAGTCTTCGGAACCTGAAAATGTGTTGGTCACAAACAAATTCCGAACCGTCAACAGCGCAACAGTCTTGATGCTGCTCAAACAGGCTTCCTGAGAAAATGTTCCGTCCATTCTGAAATACTTGAGGGATGCAGTTGGGGTTGTTTCATGGTTTTATTTCCATGGCAATAACCCCCACCTTGGGACAGAACCCCCAACTGGTACTCTATGGTCAAAAGGTCAAGCACTGCAATCAGATCGACCCATGTCCTCACCGTCATTCCAGATTCACAATTTCATTGATCCTATCATGTTATCATATTTAATTCACAATGTCAATGTCATTGCTCCCTTTATACACATAAAATCATATAAATGGTAATTCAATATAGCTTTAGGAAAATCCGATCGAATCCCCCCCAAAAAATGGTCGGAGTTCCACAGTTCAAGCGCCTCATAGCTCCTTGTGGAGGCCCCAAGCTTGAGCTTCACTCCCGACTTCAAGGGTTCCATGACCTCACTGCTGGGCTGGGTATCTCCAAGAAAACCCTACGAAAATCCCATGGGAAAACGGGGCTAGGATATGGGGAGCCAACCATAGGATGAATAGGCTTATATTGGTGCTTTAACGGAGATATAATTAGGATATATTAGGAAATAGGGAGAAATTGTGATTCCAGTTTAAGAGGGGTGCTCCCTGGCCACCCCAGATACCTTTGGGGAAAATGGTTCAAAAAGGGCTGTTAGAAAGGTGGCAACTGGGCAAAGCCTGAAACGTCATTCTATGAAATACCAGTAGGTTCAGAACAGGCTTTCCAGTTCATGGATGATGATTATTCCCAGTACCCTCTGGTAAACTAACATAGCTATGGAAAACCACCGGTTTTAATGGGAAAACTCACTATAAATGGCCATTTTCAATAGCTATGTTAAATTACCAGAGGGCATATTGCATTATCTTGTTTTACCCCCGAAAACAATGATCAACCCTGCTCAAATGGGTGTCGATTCGTCGATTCGCATCTGCTCAAATGCTGATTTCATGAACCAAAAGATCATCTCCAGGGTGAAAAACTTTGAAGATTCCTGTGATCATTTGGTTGGTTTAAGGGGAAAATTACAGGAAACCCTGGTAATTTAATGGTAAAAACCCATGGGTTTCTAGTTTTCAGATTTTCCCCAACAAACCAATCCAGTTAGATGTGAGACTTCAACATGGTTTCATCAATCAAAAGTTGAGGATTTACCAAGATCAAACCCAGATCTGTCTAATTTTGTGATATACGAATCCGAGAAACCAATCAAATGGTGATGAAGATAAGAATCTGGGTTTTTTCAAGAACAACAACAACAACAACGACAACGACAACGACAACGACAACGCCAATGACAACGACAACGACAACGACAACGAACGACCTTGGAAGCTAGATGTGTGGCGATCTTGGATTTTGCATCCGACAATTCTGTACACATGTTGAGATGTTCGGAACTTTCGACCCTTCAAAAATTCATGGCGCCCTCAGCTACCAAACTATCCAAAGTTGATATTGCTGATACCACATTCCTCATCATTCCTGGGCGTCTGAAGCCAACCAAACCAATCAGTTGGCAAAAGAGTGCCACAAAACAGTCCAATTTACTGTGGCCCAATTCAAAATTCATGGATTATATCATATAATGATACATATATGTATGTATGTATATACACAGTCACATATATATGATTATATATAATATATATATATGTATTAATATATATTTATATTTGTATATATATGTATATCTGTATGCATAGTTTCGCTGTCAAAATCCCCATCACATCCCCCTGAAATTCCAATTATGACCCTGTTCATCCTATGGTTCCCAGCAAAGCCGTTGGCAAGTCTCCTGCTGCATGGACGACTGGAGCGGTCTCACGAGTTATCCATGGTTTTCCCTTTACAAATCTGATGAGTGGGTGATTCATGGTGATGTTCAACCAAATTCGATTTCGCGAGCGAAAAAGTGAGGATTTGAGAAGGAAAAGTGAGGAGTAATCAGAAATGAGCGAGAACGGAGGCTACACTGCTACACACAGAAATCCCCATTGGAATTTAACCTTGAACCCAATTACCACCAAGTGAGGTCAATGATCTTCTTGATCAGCTGTTGTCCCAGCAACCGTCAGACATGTTCGTTGCTTGAATCCACATTGTTGGTTAAATACCACCTTATCTTCAGTAAATCCATTCTTTTTGCTGATGAAAACCACATTTCTTTCCTGATGAAACCCCCATTTGTCTGACGAAATCCCCACTTGTTTCTCTATCAAATCCCCTTTTTGCGGCTGATCCCCATCTGTTTGCCCCGCGGCTCCGCATGTGACAAAAAATCCCAATGGCCCCGCGGCTCCTGCCATCCAGGTGAGTTCCGAACTTGGAGCCCAAGTCCATAATGGCCACACCACCCGTGGGCCTTGCTACCTGGAACCATGGCGCCGTTGATCAGCGGCTTCAAGGGAGCACTAATTGTGGTTCAAGGGAACACCATTTTTTCTGTGTGGCAAACCAAGCTTCCCCCATCTACTTCGATCCATAGTGAGGGCAGCTAAACGGCTTGGGACGGGAAGCGCTGCCATACGTCGCTCAGCAAAGGGCAAAGATCTGCATGAGTTTAGCTTTGGTTCAACGGACTGCTGGAAAAATCGCCAGAGAAACTGGGTTTGCCATGGTTTACCCTCTGGTAATTTGTTACATAGCTATGGAACATGGCCCATTTATAGATGGTTTACCTATTAAAAATGGTGATTTTCCATGGCTATGTTAAATAACCAGATGGTAATTTCTTACATTGCTATGGAAAATGGCCCATTATGTTCGTTGATTTACCTATCAAAAACGGTGATGTTCAATATGATAGTTTACCAGAGGGTAACCCCCAAATGTTGCAAATGTATTTTCGGTAAATTATCCCATCATCCACTGCTGGGAATGCTGTGCATCATTAGTTTCTCAAGGGTCCCCAAAAAAAACCAGGCGCTCGGTCACTTGGGTGTCTGAAAATCGGATGCCCAAAGAAACCTCGTGGTTTATCATGTGTTTCCTGTTACCCTCTGGTTATTTAACATAGCCATGGGAAATGGCCCATAGGAATAGATGGTTTACCTATTAGAAATTGTGATTTTCCATGGCTATGTTAAATAACCAGATAGTAACATTGCCGTTGTCTGTTTTGGTCGCAACTCCTTTTTGGGGGGTTACATCCTCCACTTCTGGACAAGCCATGCTGTCGATGAAGCTATATGGATCCAAGTTGTTGGTTGAATCCCCCATTTGGTCTGGAAAAAGGGGAACCCCAAAATCCTACATCATCAAGATCCCAACATAAAACTGGCAGGAGGTACACCCCATTTTCAGACATAACCCACACATCCAAAATATGTGGGGTTAGATGGTAATGGGAATGGGGACGGAAATGGGGAATGAATGGGAATGGTACACCCCAAAATATTAAATTATTGCTTATATGTCCCATTCTATTCCCAGTAGATCCCATGTTTGTCATAGTTACACCGTGTTACACCCTCCAGCCTCGTTGGTCAAAACTCGCCATTGGGTGAAGTCTCCCAGTTGACGATCATGGAAACCACATCGATTCCCTAAAGATGTGTGGATTTCCCCATTAGAAAACCAAGAAAAACTCATCATCGACGAAGCGCAAATCCAGGACCATCATGGACCATAGATATCACTACCATACTCCAATGATAGATGATTTGCCCATTGAAACCTCCCTTTAAAAACAAAGGAAAAATCAGGAAAAATCATCTTCTCTTCAGCAAATCCCCGATTCTCATCCCATTAAAGTCAGCAAGAAGCACCGTTAAATCACTGGTGTTTCTTCTGCTCCCAGTTGATCATAGCTCCGCCCCAGGAATCCAGGGCTATCACCTCAGTCTTGGTGTGCAGAATCAGGGCATGCTCCCGGCTGATGGAAGGATGCAAGGCGGGGACGGCATTGCTTGGGAGCTTGCCCAGCTTGTAATACTCCTGGCAGTTGAGCAAGGGCTTTGGGTTAATGGCAGACCCTTAATTGATGTTAAAGGTAGCCATCAAATGGTTTTGCTTTATCCATGTTTGTTCAATTGCATAAACTCTAAGTTTGAAAGAATGGATTTGCTTTCTGTTTATCATCATTTTTGATTGGCTACCCTAAAGTTGATCGTTTATCAAATGGCGTTCGAATTGGCTACCCCAAATTTATTCGTTTATCAATGTGTATCGTCATGTTTCCCCTTTAAAATGTGAAAATGTATGGGTATCCATCGTTTCAGACACATCCAAAATGGGGCCCCAAAGACAAAGCCACAAACCCAGCCACATTATACCATTGGGATGGAACCAGTTTGGAAGGGACGTTGGGACAGGTCAATAGCCAGATGCCATGCAGACAATACACAAGAAATAGATGCGAGTAGATATTCCCAACAGCCCAACATTTCTCTACAAGCCAGCAAAAATACATGCCAAAAAAAGGCCGATGATGGTGGTAACAGTGGTAACCCTCTTGCTTTCTCACCCCAATCCCCGCTGCTCCTTCCCACTTAGCCTGTGCACCTAGCAGCGGGGCAGGAAGAAAAGTGGCAGTTGAGCCAACCATACCCAGTTCTTGTTGGTTACTCATCCCATTAGATTCCATTAATCACATTAAATTCCATGGTATCCCAGTTACTTGACGGAAAACCAACCTTGCAAAGATTGCAGTTTCGTCCATTCTTTCCGGCGAAGAGATTGGCAACCTCACCATTTAGGTCACCCCAAAAAAAGATGGTGATGAGTGAACCATTGTTAGTGATTCTTGCTGGTTAATCAACCCTTAAGGGGGACACCTTAGGAAAGCCTCAGGATAATTGAGGGTCTCATGGAACTCCCAATTCACGACCTTCACTTCCGTAAGGTTTTCCCAGCAAACCATTTGACGAAAAGGCTACTGTACCCACAAATGGGAAAGGATATGTACGGTACACTCTGGTAATTTCACATAGCTACGTCAAATGGCCCGTTGAGTTCAATAATTTACCTACTAAAAAATTATGATTTCCCATAGCACTGTGAAAAATGACCAAAAGGTATATGCTATACTGGATGCTGTGTTTTCGAATGCATGTGGTCAAAAGAGAGTCGAGAAAAAAAAACATGTTTCGTTCGACCCATTTCCACCACGATTCGGAGGTTCATGGCTTGATCCCCCACTCTAAACTCTACCACCCTAGGGACTTGATTGTTAATATGAGACCAAAAAGATCCAAAAAACTGGAGGATCCAACTTGGAGGATCCAAGAACCACAAACCACGGATCGATCCCTGGAGTTCTCCAGCAACAATTGGAGTCGGCTATGGAAATATTCCTCCCTAGTTGGCAACTTCAACCCAAAAAAAAATACTTGGGTTCAATTTGTAGCTATGTATGTTAGATTACCAGAGGAAAGTAATGTATATATATATATTATACTATTATATGTGCTGGCATCAATTTGTTCCAACTTGGGATCGGAATCTCGCAACACGAAGCACCACGGAGCGAGTTCGAACAGGAATCACCCCGCCATGGCCAAGCTAAGATACCCATGTAAATTCAAAAAGAACATGGGTTTTAGCTGTCTGAGATGGATTTCTCCCGATTTACCGAAATAAATTAAAGCTGTACCAGCATTCATACTTCCGTTGAATTCCCGGGCATGTCATGCAATATCTACTTTAAACGACTGGTACAGTAATAAATGAGCAGCCTCTGGTAATTCAACAATTCAACATAGCTATGGAAGCCGGGGCCCATTTTATTCGATGATTTGCCGGAAATAGCGATATATATCTATCTATATATATATATATATACCGTGCCCTTTGGTAAACTAACATTGCTATGAAAAATGGCCAGTTATAGTTGATTTACCTACTAAAAATGGTAACTTTCCATAGTTAACGGTGTTGGGGTCATCCACACAGGCGAAAGTTGAGTCACACACACACACACGCGCGTTTTCGAGTCACACACACAGGCGAAAGTAGGGTCACACACACACACACGCGTTTTCATTCATCAACCCAGAACCACCATGAACACACACCACTTTATGTTACAGGGGTGGGACAAGGGACAGGGGTTAGGGGGATAACGTTCAGTTTCGCTTGCAAACACACGCACTGAGCTGGGGTCGGGCTTTGGTTGGGTGGGGTGGGGTGGGGCAATAACGTTCAGTTTCGCTTGCAAACACACGCACTGAGTGGGGTCGGGCTTTGGTGGGTGGGGTGGGGTGGGGTGGGGTGGGATAGGGTAATAACGTTCATGTTCGCTTGCAAGCACACGCACTGAGCTGGGGTCGGGCTTTGGTTGGGTGGTGGGGTGGTGTGGGGTGGGTTAGGGTAACCTTCTCCGCTGTTCCGCTCATTGTCTTCTTGGCAGTGCGTCTCGTGCTCCGTGTTGCCCTCTGGGCTGCCCGGATCTGACACATCTGGCACCGGCATGTCTACAATGATCCCAGCTTCCAAAGGACGAAGGAGGCCCGCTTTCCACACGCGTGAGCCGACATGTTTCTTCACTTCTTTTGCAGCCAAAGAAATCAAAGGACAAGCATCCGAGACTTCCATACTGCGTTGCTGCAACCAATGCATCAGCAATCGATTGCAATACAAGATTCGAGTCATCAAAGTCACTGACAAAGTCGATGCCTGGGAAAGAAAGGCTTCCCACAAACTCAGCGTGCTCTGGCAATGCATTGCGTAGATGCGGCCAATACATGCAACACACACGTAGGTAATTCAAAGGTAAGTCAAAATCATGAACGTTGAGTTCTTGATCAGCAGCAGCCAAGCACCATACCTTCCGGGCAGCACATGAATCACAACAGGAAACGCATTCAAACAAATTCAACACAAGGTACGTCAAACGTGTTTCATCCTTTTAGCAACCACCGTCCTGAAATATCGACTGCAAATTCTCCAGATAGCAAGTCCACTTCGATCCGTACTTTGTAGACGGATCGTCGCTATCCACACATGGGTCAGTGACACCACCGTGACGTAGCACAATCAGTAATGCCACGGACAAAAGCAAATTGTAGTCAACACGATTGGCAGCCGTCAAAGGCATTGCACGGAAGGAAACATCAATAAACATGCAGCATGGAACTCTACTTACCAACATAAAGTCAAAATGAATCTTTTTTGTTCCTTGAAGCTAACTTCTTACAGACATGATTCTACCTGTACGTCTGTCGAATTTGTTGTAGATAACTCGACTGCGGTCAGAGGGTAGCTATGTATGTTAGATTACCAGAGGAAAGTAATATATATATATACTATTATATACTGGGAAAAACAACAATAACCACCCATTTGCAAAAAGTTTATACCACCCATTTATGGTGATGACTGGGGGATGGTTTATGGCATTGTTTTACCCACATTATATTATATATATATAACTAGACTATATATATATGGGTTCGTCTGGAAATACCGTATCCTCACTGGCAGGTTTGTCTAGGGGGTATGCTTCGGAGGTATGCTTCGGGGTTTGCTTCGGGGGTATGCTTCGGGGTCTGCTTCGCTGAACTTCATCACATGGAACTTACTTCATATCTAAGAGGCTTCCAACAAACTTTCCAACCTTTTATATATCTCTGTGTAAATCCTCGCACGCATATATATATAGAGAGAGAGAGAGACGTATGGTTTTCTGGTCTAAATCAACCGCCAAGGGCCAGAGTCTGGCTTTCCCAAGTATAGGTGAAGCCCGACGCTAGTTCTGACAGCAGGTATAGTTGGTTCAAGGCATAGCTGGCTGTAGGAAGCACGTTTGTTCCTGACAGCAGGTGGTTGGTTCAAGCCATAGCTTTGGTGCCATGGCGGTATGGGCAAGGATGTCTTATTTTCAGGGCTATGCAGAGATGTGAAGTATCTTACTCACGCGTCAGAGATGTGAAGTATCTTACTCACGCGTTCAAAATGTGCCAGGGTCTGGAAGTTGAAGATTTGAGGTATGAAATGGGTGTGATTCGGGTATGATTCGGGTATGATTCGCGGAGCACTATTCAGCACACCGTATCAGATCTAGACAGGAGCTACAACGGCCAGTCAGCACCAGAAGCTGGTCGATGCAAACGGTATCGGCTGCCACAATGAAGCTACAGCGGCCAGTCAGCACCGAAGCTGTCTTCAACCTACTTGTCTGCACATGGCAGACAGACTGCGGGGATGGAGGGCGGGATGGCGCAAAGGGCGCCTAAAGGCAGCATGAAGCTACAGCGGCCTGTCAGCACCGAAGCTGTCTTCAACCTACTTGGCTGCATAGGGCAGCCAGACTGCGGGGATGGAGGGCAGGATGGCGCAAAGGGCGCCTAAAGGCAGCATGAAGCAAGTGTCGCGACCCATGATCTCCAAACAACAACCATCAACAAGCCCTCAAAAATGATCTTCATTTTGGAGGTTTGCTTCGGGGTATGCTTCGGGGCTATGTTTCGAGGTGTGCTTCGGGGGTATGCTTCGCAAGAGCGCCACCTTCCACCAATACATATCTAGGACCACGGAAAAAAATACTAACCCATATATTACAATTATATAGTAGAATTCCATTCTGGATATTCCTCCGGTTTTTTCGCACCCCACAAATCTTGCCTGCGTCTCACCCGATCCATCGTCCTGGCCAACAAAAAAAGCAGATGTTTATTGGTCAAATGTAGGTCAAATCCTAAACAAAAAATGAAGGTTTCAAGAACTAGAAAATGATGCTAAATATATGTTTCGATGATATTGATCCAAATGGTGATATTTTCGATGATATGTTTTCAACACATCTAGAAAAAAAGTGGGTTGTTTTTTCAAAAACACTGTTGAAATATTGATCCGAATGATGTTTCAGAAAGCTTTCTGTTGCCGCAACTAATTACTGCGGTTACCCTCAGCCAAGGTTTTACTCAGTGTGATCGTTGTACAACTCCCAAATCCAATCAGAAAACAATCTATAAAGGGTGGAATTGTACATTGCCATGTTTGAATATCGTAATTTCACTCAATTCTTGTTTTGGGATTCAATCCACTACTCACCTAACTTGCGACTGAATGAGGACAGAAATCTCGGAGCAGATCTCGCGACTGTTGGTCGAGGATGGTCCCGACCATGCGGCGATGACACTGGAATGTCGTCACCTCCTGTATAATTACTATAACTCTCCGGTAATGATTAACAGGTACTAACAGTTCGCTGAACATGCCCCATTTATAACTGATTTACCTCTTAGAATGGTGATTTTCCGTAGACGTTATCCCATGAGGTCGCGAGGTGTTTTGCCCCACTCAGTTGGCTCGTCCAGCCGAAACAGGATACCGCGGTAGTAGCCCTTGAAGTTGATTGGGCAAACCCAAATCAATGAACAAGCCATTATTGTATCCCCAGTAATTACATGGTTTGACACCCACTGTTTTTGTCGGTTAACTTCCCCATGGTTTGCTCCCGATTTGTTTAAGCCCAAAGTATGAACAAACAAGTAATAAAGTAACTTTAAGTCCCAAACTAGAAAAAAAACTAAGTCAGTTCAAGCCACAAAGTAGAAACAAACACAAAATTCATCACCTTTTCTTAGTGAAGTCACATGTTTCATGCCACAAAATCACCATTTCTACCCCTTGCGCCGGCAGGGGACCCAACCTTGCTCTCAATGAGCTCCACAGGAGGCCACCGAAGGCTGTCGCCCTCCAAGTCGCAACAGAGAAAGAGCCAGGAGTGGAAATCCGTGTCCTCCTCTGCAGCGATGGAACTTTTCAACGGTTGCTTTCTGTTGGTTTGTAAAGCCCATAAGAAAAAAAGTATATAACTATAGTTCATTATATATATATATATCCCCATGATAAAGCCCATTATATAACTATAGTTCGTGAAATATCTACCATAAACATCCATGTCCATAAATCATAGAATTCAATATCTACCAGCCATCCATTTCAACCGTTGAGGACCTGGAGATTCGATGGGAATTTCAGGATCCTAACATCTCGAAAAACACCATAGAAATGCTTGATTTTCCCATGAAAAAAATGGTGGATCTTTCCATAGTTTTTTGTTAACGTTTACCAGAGGGAAAAAAAGACCCGCAGATAGATCAATAAGATGGTTAATGTTGGTTAATATACTGTTAATATTAATGATTATTTTTATGGTTAATGATCTTGAATAATATGGTTTATCAATAGTTACTGGTTGGTGGTTGAGCCCTGCCCCTCCGAAAAATGATGGACTTCGTCAGTTGGGATGATGAAATTCCCAACTGAATGGAAAAATAAAAGTCATGTTCCAAACCACCAACCAGATATTGTTGGCCATGTTTTCTGGGGCTAGTCCCTTAAATTTAGGCCTCAAAATTAAGAGTCCTTAAAAAAATGCTAGGTACCTCCAATAATTCCGTTCCGCATGGCCATTGATTAGATGGGAATGAACCATCATCGGATGAAACGCAGCTGGAGTTTGATGTGGTTTTTAGTGCCAAGATCCCGTGGAAGGATTTTGGGGTATGGGTTCGAATATTCCACAAAGTGTAGATCTGTAATTGGGAACTTGGGGATGATACCTTGATGATTTCTTGTTGGGTCCACATCACCAGAAACCAACTGACCTTACTCATGGAGGTTATCTTTAGGGCATCGGCCCTAGTATGTCTGTTGAGTCCATCAAAATCACAAGGTGAATGAATCATCCTTGAAATCCTGAAAAACCATTTGGGATACTAAGCTTTGGATATTAACCTTGAAGATATATATATATATAATTGTATATAATCCTGACTATCCCAACAGATTCATTTATCTTGAAGATCTGAATCTTTTTGATCTGAGTGCAGAATGCCCCAGTATCCCATCGAGCCGCTTTCGCCGTTGTTTCGCCGGTTTCGCTCCTGAATGCTGCTGCGCACATCCATCAAGATTCCTAGGGACATGGGCGAAACCGTCGAAATGTGGTACCCCAAATGGTAAACGTTTACATAACTATGGAAAGATCCACCATTTTTCATGGGGAAACTCACTATTTAAATGGCCATGTTCAATAGCTTTTTGTAAACGTTTACCATTTACCCCAAATGGTGTCAATCTCCACATGGATGGGAAATCTGATGGAAATCTCGGAAAATCGTCTCCGAAGCACCATTTGCAGTGACCTTTAGTGGTAAGGTCTGGTAAGGTCATTACAATTTATCCAGATTATACAGAGGTGATTTTTAACACTAGCGAACTGGAAAATCAGCATGTTGAATAGGCAACTCATTGAACAAAACGGTTCAATTACCAGAGCGTAAATCCCTGCTACATTACCTATATATACTGTCTATATGTCAATATGATATCCATTGTATCACCCATCAAGCTTGGAGCCAGGCAAACTCCTTGCAACAGAGCCTCCTGAATGTGTATATATATATTATATAATGTATGTATGAATATATATATACATACATACAATGTATAAATATATATATATACACTATATATATAATACATACAATATACAATCATTTGGGATATGAAAAATATCGCATTTGGAACTCTTGAGGACGTTTCAACCCGCTCCTGTCCGCCAAGTTTCGTCCTAAGTGGTTCTGCCCACGACCCTTCGTGGCACCCCAGAAGGTGTCCGCGTCGTTTTCCCACCTCGGGCCGTGGTGGCCATCGGGGATGTGGACGGGAAAATGACGGGAAAATGATGGGAAAGTGATGGGAAAATGAGAAAATGATAGGAAAATGGGCATCAAAAAATCATTTTCCCAACTATTTTCCAGCCATTTTTCCTATCACCCAATAGAAAAATCATGAAAAATCCCATAGAAAATCCCATGACCCTAATTTTTTTCGGACCTCCATAGACTATGATCCCATTTAGAAATTTAAAATGATCTGTCTATTAAACCATGGTTTCTACGGGGTGGTTTTTCATATTCCGGGAATGAGATTACACCCCAAACTGAAAATGGATGGATGACCATCTCCGAACTGGGAGCGCATATGCAGCAGTGGCACACGAGATCGCGGTCCCCAGTCTCTTTGAGTTTCTTTCTGTATTCCTGAGGTCGGTGGTTGAGCCTACTCGGAAGCGGGGCGACCGCTCACTTACCCACTTAGCCACTTACCCACTTACTCACCTACCACTGCGCTTGTCACCTACATAGCCTGCTTTTTTGGGGTGAACCAAGTGTTCTCAAACATTAGGAGCGATGGCCCAACTGAATTGGTCATTGTTGTACAAAATGCTACTAAACATTAAATTAGTTAAACCCTCCAATTCGGCGGGCGGGGAGGGAATCTCCAGTGTCTATTGGGTCACACCTTCTGAGAGTCTCTTTCTCCACCGGTGCAAATGCCATGAGATTCTGGTCGGACATGGTCATGCTAAGCGAGGACCGGCTTCAGCGTGTTCTAAAGATTACCCTCCAGTAAATTAACAATAGACCCTGCCACCCACCGGGGCGGAAAGAGGAGTTTCCCACCAAAAATGGGTGATTTTCAGGGTCAAACTCTTAATTTACCAGCTGGTACCGAAAATTTACCTCCTTTTAAGGTCCACCGAAAAGATTTGCTTCCCTGGTTTTTCACCAATTCCTCGGCACCTCCATGGTTCACTTGATCAGTGTACAGGTTATTGTGTCTCAAGCTGAAACTAGTTGGCTTCGAAGCAAAATGGATCAGAGGTGTCATCACTTTCATTGCCAAAATAACCAGCGGCTCGCCCCATTTGCGAAAGCTATGACAAATGAGTTCAGCGCTATGACTCAATGACAGATTCTGAATAGATGTTCCATACATCACTTTCGGGTCTACTCTTAATCTGGCATATCATGGAAAATGTTAAATTTACATTCACTTATCGATGATGTCTCTTGAAAAAAAATGGCGGGATTCAATGGTTCCATGGCTGCCATTCTGGATCACTAGAGAATGAATATACCCAAGCTTAAGATCCACAAACGCTACGTCAGTCATGTATCTGGCTGAGCTCAAACACTTCAACAGCCTTCAATCAGCCCATTGAGTGGATTGTTCCCCCAGACTTCGCATCATCTTTGCTTGCGTCCGGCCAGGGTTTAGTCGCAAGATCGCCCAGATCGCCAGGATGTTTCATCACTTCTTCTTGCTGATCCGAAATATATATGTATATATATATATATATGGCATCCCTTTTTCCCAATATCAAAATGGATATGTCTGTCTATCTATCTATGTATCTATCTATCTATGTGATATATACCTCCAGGGAGAGCCAAACGACCGGCCCCCCACCTCCGATCTCTGGAACTTGTCACGTTGGATCCGTTCCATCGCCTGGCTGATCCATGGCTTTCAGTTGGGAAATCTTTGATTCGGGGATTGGCACAGATCTCTGGGTAAATTATACTATAAACAATTGTCAATTTACTAACTTTGGTAATGTTTTTGTTCAAAAGTTGGTAAATTCTTTGGTAAATTTCATTTGAACAAAACATTACCAAAGTTGGTAAATTGACATTTTTACCAATAAACTGAAAGCCAACATTGGGAAAGTTTTCCAAAGGCAATTACCAACTGAGAGTCAAAAATGTCAATTTACCAACTGAAAGCCAACTACCAAAGGGTAAATTCACATTTTTGAAAGTCCAATGGACAAATATGTGTATGTATATTATGTATGTATACATATACATCGATATATGTCCTGGATGTCTTGGGGTACCTTTCCACTATGATAATCCCTAGCAACCACAAACGCAGATCGTTCCGGATGGATCCAAAGCCCAGGGCGTTATAAATCTCATGGCTTTATTAAAGCCTCCATCTTTCTCCAGTAAAATGGCATTTGTGATACCCTCTAGAAAACTAACATAAACTTGGAAAATGTCCATTTTAAGCTTGGTGAATCAATGATGAATGGGCCATGTTCAATAGCTATGGCCAGAAATACCGGGAGGTATACCCCTTGGATAAACCCATAGGGATGGTATCATCTGGGACACCACAACTGGTAGATACACCGACTCTCGTAGCTTCCATGCACATTGACCAATCATTGAGGTCTTCAATCAAGTGGTAGATATATTATTACATACCATATGCCGCATGTGTGTATCCACACTACATATACATATACATATAAATATAAATATATATATATACATACACAGATACCAATATGTAAATACATGTACATGTGTAAATGTATATATATATATATCATCAAACCATTAATTCATTGCCAATCTAAAAAACACTTAAAGAAAGGACCAAGTGTTCCCAGCATTGGCGAAGCAAACATCCAACATGGCAACGGATAATCCCCGGCACGTCATGGAGACTGGTGATTGGAAGGAAAATCATCATCCAGACATGGCGTTTTCCGCCATGCTTGATTACTGGAGGGCATATGTATATCTATATATATATATATGTATATCTATATATATATGTATATATATATGTATATACATATGTAGATATATATATATATGCTGGCACTATCTTATCACTTGGCTTGTCCAAGAATAGGGTTTTAAAAGAAATATGACATGACTTACCCTCTAGTAAATTCACAGTTCGACCCTGGCATTCATCGGGCTTGGAAGATGAGTTTTTCACTAGAAATTATATAGTTGTCAGGGTCGAACTGTTAATTTTCCAGAGGGTAAAGTATCTAGAAAAACGCGATGAACCTGATATGTGTTTAATGACTATCAGTTACCATGGATTGCTGCAACCCTGGGGACCTTAAGGCGAGTCTGACTCCAATCCTTTGCTTCGGTTTCACCTGCCAGGCCAGCAACAAAAAAAGACATCCAAACGAAAAATTGACCTATCAGAGTTGAGAAACTCGTTTTTCGTAGCTCCAACTGGATTTGTTATTTGTCAAATGGATTCATATGGATTCATATGGATCCATTATATGGATCCATATGGTTGGAAAACTCTGTAGCTCCAACGGGCTCCTAACTGTTGAGAAAGGCTCGATCCAATCGCTCAACTCATCGCTCCCACTGGAAAGTTGGAATGGATGTCTATCCACCCAAAATTGAAATGGTTTGACTCATAGCTGGCTGGTGCTTTTAACCATCTTGAAAAATCATGGAGTTCGTCAATGGGGTTGGGATGACATCCCATTAATATGAAATGGAAAATAAAAAATGTTCCAAACCACCAACCAGATTTTCATGGCCGATTCAACCAATCATGGGGATATGATGAGATCATATGAGATGTCATTGATGTATGACCAGCAATCTAAGGACCCATGGTTTCTCAAAAAAACCGGGGATACCAAGATGCACCAATTTCATGGCAACCCCGTTTGTTGAGAAATGATCTTCTAAAACCATGTTCTTTTGGGGGGAATTTTCGAAACATGTCCTGACGAAGCCAGGCTCATGATCCAGATGAGCCACATGATCTCAATGAGAAAGTTCCGATTTTTTCCCATGAGATTCCCAAAAAAAACACCATTTGGAGGGTTTCTGTTTTGTCATGGGGGTACCCCTAGTTCTCATCCATTTTTTGAGTCGGATTGTCCATGAAATCAACCATCCATTTGTGGGTACCCTCTTTTTACTGACCAGTTTGCGAACTGGAAAATCACTATTTTCAAGCTCGGTAAATCAACGATTTTCTACGGGCCATTTTCCAATAGCTACGTTAAATTACCAGAACCCCATGTATTTTGGCGATGACATTTCCATGATATTCCCAACAAAGCCACCATTTATTGTTCAAGTCATAGGGAAACTCCCAAAAAAAATCTCGCTCACCTTCAACCGCCTTCAAGGCAACGCTCAGATCATCGTTGCCAGGCGCCTTCGGGCGGTTTAAGGAAGTGAGGTACCAGGTGAGGCACCCTACAAGGTGGTACCCCCAAGATAGATAGGTTGGTGGTTTTAACCATCTTGAAAAATATGAGTTCGTCAATGGGAAGGATGACATCCCATATATGAAATGGAAAATAAAAAAATGTTCCAAACCACCAACCAGATAAGTTGGTGCAAATAACTCATAACTTCACGAGGACTTGTTGGTAGATATATCGAACCAGTCAATGTGGTTCACCCTATAGAAGCCTCCTGGGAACATGTCAATTTAACCAACGAAAATGGTGAGTTGATGGGATTGGCTAAAGCTGACGCACATAACTTGCTGAACTGTTGGGTTGATTAGGGGGATATAACTATAGTCGATGGGTTTATTTAGGAAGGCCTCACCTTGCATAAAGCCAAGCAGTCTATGGTGATATAATCGTGATATAATGGGATACAAAAGTCGGACGTGCATCCTACAATGTGAGGACCCCAAGATAGCTAAGTTGGTTTATAAGTCCAATCAATAACTATGGTTTATGGTACTTATAACTATAGTTACTGGGGCTTATAAACCAACTTATAACTGGGGGGCCTCACATTGTAGCTGTGGATATCCAATCTACATCTGAACCTGAGATCCTGAGAGTTGGGGAAATCCTGTGCCTAGGCCCTAGGCCCTGGGTTATGTCAAACAAAAGTCCCGAACATGGCATGATTCACTTGGCCGGCCAGTCAAGTCCTTCAAGTTCCAACTTTCTCGGGCGAACTATCACATGTCTTGAACTGGAAACAAACAAGTTCAGTTCGGGTGATTCCTTCCCTACTATGCAGTAATTCAGTGGTGACAATCATCATGTATCAGGTACATTATACAAAAAAAATACCCGTATTTTTTGCTGGCTAAGGGCCCCTGTTTGTGATCCTCAAATCCGCATGAACTACCTACGAAAAACCAGGCTTGTCCCTATGTTTGAAATCCCAACTTTGGCTGGTTTAATCCTGGTGAATCATATTTTATCCCCATATTTTGCTGGTTAACACTCCTTGTCTTTTGATTTGTAAATCCCCACTTGGAAGTGCAGTTCGATTTTTTGTAAGTGGATGTAATTTACCATAGTTATAGGGGCCGCATATCCAAGTATCCCATGAAATATCACATTTCCCCATGAAATCCAATGACATCCCATAAACCACCCATTCAATCCCATTAAATGACCATGAAATCTCCATGTTTCACAATTGACATTTCCTACATGTCCCCAATTTCCTACACGGAAAATCACCATGGTCATTTCACGTTGAACTGACCAAAAATGACTTCACAACGGAACCCCTCAAATCTAAAAAATCTCACCTGCAGCAAATCCGTCGCATCGGGAAATTGCGCTGCCAAGAGGGCGTGTTTGGCGGAGTAGTGCAGCACTCCATTGAAGAGGACCGGGCAAGGGATCTCCAGGGAGAGAAACCTCCAACAACCGCAAAACAGATGGGAAAAATGTGGAAAAATCTGGGAAAAATGTGGAAAATTGTGGGGAAATAATGGAAAAATAATGGAAACAGGCGGAAAAATATGGACGGCTTTCGAAATGATTGATGTGAAAATTTGGAAAAACGTCTGAACAAGGGAAAAAAACAATGGCTTTGGGTTAAGAGATGATCATCGCAAGTCACATGAATGATGTTTATACATATAAACATACATATACATATACATATACATATACATATGCAAATACATATATATATATATATACATATACATAATGCATACCCATATACATATATATATGCATATACATATACATATGCATATGAATATACATATGCATATGCATATGCATATACACATACATATGCACATACATATACATATACATAGACATATGCATATACATATACATATGCATATACATATGCATATACATATGCAGATGCATATACATATACATTTACATGTACATGTACATATACATATGCATATGCATATACATAGTTATACATATACATATACATATATATGTATATATATATGTATATGTTTATGATACTGTTTGTGGGTTATATGGTGATCATCCACTTGAATGTCATGTTGAAAGCCATCATTTTGGGGCATCAGGGGACAACGTCACATGGGCATTTCTCACTGTCACTGTCTCCATGGCAAATCTTAGATCTGCATTCATGGCAGGTTGAAGTGCTTAACTACCCTGCCAAATGACGATGATTGCATGACACTTCCAGATTTCCATCGATTTCCATGAGTAAGCTCAGATGTTTTGATGTTTAAAACATTTAAATCCAGCCTTCACCACTGAACCCGTAGCTTGTCCGAGACACTGGTAGATGCCCTCGAAAGCGTCGATGCGGGTGAATTTCTTTTTCGCTTCCTGGCAGCGTGGCCGGTGATGGGCCTTGCCGCCTTGCCACTTGGAATCCCATAGATCGAATCTGATTGCAAGGACATTTGAGTCATTGTGTCATTGAGAAAATCACCTATGATGGCTACATAATGGCTATATCATGGTTATATCATGGCTAATGGCTACATCATGGCTATATCATGGCTGCAAAAAATTGCTATAGTTTGGAATAAACCCCGTGAACCAATTCCGACTGGTCAGCTGCGATGCGAAAAGAGGAATCCGAAAATGGGGTCCCCACAAATCCAGTGGCGTAGCATTCGGAAATTGGGGACCAACAGGACCAACATGGAGGTGTCCATCAATATGGGTACCCCAAAATGGATGATTCATAATTGAAAATCCATAAATGAATGATTCGGGGGTACCCCTATGACTTAGGAAACCCCCCAAAGATGAAAGTTTTTTCATGAATACCATTGCTTTTGCCCATTAAACCTGACAAACATATAACTCTCATGGATTTTTGAGGGTCGAATCCACACAATTCCTCAAGGCACGTCAATAAAAAGGTATTCACATGTGTTGAGGGCCAAAATCCCCAAGATATCCCACATCCACATGTTTGTTGGTCAAATCCCTTGTGTTTTTTCAGGTGAAATCATGTCAAACCCACTGGTTTTTGTCAAACCCCGCGATATTCACAGGTTGTTTCATCAAAGCCCTGGTTTTTGCAGGGCAAAATCTGGCGCTCGGATCGTTCCGCAAATTTCGATCCCAGACACCTCCGCAATGCGCGTTTCAGCAGCTTTGGCACCCTGGAGTGCTGCCTGGCGCTCAGGAGCTGGGTCGTTGGCCAGCCTTGAAACGAAGGGGTTTTCGGAAAATGGGGAGATCGAAAATGGAGAATGGCATGATGAAATGGTGGGTTGAATATGGGTTTAGATGGTTTAATAGGGATCATATTGGGATAATCATAGGATAATCATATAATCATGGATACACCTTCTGGTAATCAAACGTGGTGTGCTCGAAAAATCCCGCAGTTATCGATGATTTTCCGGCTAAAACCTTCATTTAGTTCGGGGATTTACAATTGCCAGGTTTGATTGCCAGATGGTTCCAAGCTCCTCTGCTAAGTTGGGTGAACTAAATAAATGACCGGTAAATTTAAAAAACACTGAAAGCCCAAGGGAATGGCTGGGGAACCGTCATGTGATGGCAATATGTCACGACAAATCAATGGATTTCCGAGTACATGGAGTACCCCATCTTTAGATGAACTACACTCATAAATAAAAATATATGTATATATATATATGTATATATATGTATATATATATATATGTATACATGTCTACATGCCTACATGTCTACATGTCTACATGTATACATATATACATATATACATATATACATATATACATATATACATATACTTATAAATTCATATATATATATATATAAATACAAATAAATACATATATATACATATAAATACATATATAAATACATATACATATATATATATATACATATAAATGCATATATACATATATACATATATAAATATACATATATACATATATTTATATACTTACAATGTAAATATATATATACACTTCGAACTACATATATATACATACATATATATATACATATATATATACATATATAAATATATATAAATATATATATACATATATATATACATATATATATATACACATATATATACATATATATACATATATACATTTTTACATTTATACATATATACATATATACAAGTACACATATATACATATATACATATATACGTATACACATATATACATATATACATATATACGTATACACATATATACATATATACATATACACATATATACATATATAAATATATATACATATATACATATATACATATTTACATATTTACAAATATATATATATACTTAAAAATACACACACATATATGTATATATATATATATACTTATAAATACATATATATATATACACATCTATACATATGTAGTACACACATGTATATATATATAATGTGGGTAAAACAATAATAAACTATCCCCCAGTCATCACCATCTTTAAAGGTGGTATGGATGGTTGGTTGATTGTTTAACCCAGCATGGTTCGCATTCACCCGCGACAGTTGCAACTCACAGCGGCCTCCTTTGCAAGGTTCTTCTTCTTCTCTGTCATGGCTGATGTTATGGGGAACTTTTCGTCAGATTCACCGGAAACAGTCAGTCGTTTACGAAATGCCTCATCCGAAGAAGTTATACTTGGTAAAAAAAGGGACCGATCCAGGTAGCAAGTGGCTCATATCCAATAGATAAGCCATATCTGGTTGGTGGTATACCTACCCCTCTGAAAAATATGAGTTCGTGAGTTGGGATGATGAAATTCCCAATATATGGAAAAATAAAAGTCATGTTCCAAACCACCAGCCAGATATAAATTCTTCTGGCTGCAATGTTGAATGGGACACCCACCCTTGGAAGTTTCTCTGTGGCAAGGCCTTGGCAGCCCTTGAACCTTGCCACTGCCTGGGTAGCGACAAATGCTGTCTACATTTTTCATCATGTTTCTACCGTGGCACAATGCATAGCCAAGTTGGATCCTCAGAATTTGTCCATTTGTCCTCCTTTGATCTATATTTGCATTTATATATATATATATTTGTATATATATATATATAGTCGGACATGGCCACCTTCCTCATGTGGATTGGGTCACTCGCTACTGGCTGGGTCATATCCTGAATCCTTTATGGTTCTTGATCCAGAAAAGCTGCAACCACCCAGCTCTTACAGCATCTGAAGCTGATATCTGATTCACCGGCCCTCCGATCAAGCTTTGATCTGCGAAAGCCTTCCATGGTTTTTTGTGGGGTTGACATGTAAAAAAAAACTGAAACCCGAGTGAATCCCAGTGATCTCTATTTGGGACGGTGAACCCGCTGTTTTCTGAGACATCACGGATTTGACGAAGTGATAGTCCAGTACCAAACTTGGAGGAAACTGAGGTGTTTTTTCTTTGGTAATCCCAGGGAATTCTTTGGGTTTTTGTCCCACTGCAGGGTTGATTCCACCGCAGGAAGTCACTGTTGTTTTTGTTGCGAAACACTCTGCTCGACAGCAGGTCTCGCTTAAGTCAGTCCGTCAAGGCTGCAAACACGCAACCCCCCTTGGGACTGCTGGTTCTGCACGAACTGCATCGCTGCACATCTGCCAAGACTGATATGGTCATATGAAATATCGGATGAGTGAAAACAATTTCAATGGTGAAACCGTGGAAGCCTAAAAATATGAGTATGAAATGGTATGAAATGGTGAAACCGTGGAAACCGTATGAAATGGTATGAAATGGTGAGATCGGAGTTCTTCTCCCTCCATTCTTGGGTCCAAGATTTCAAGGATGGGAACGGAAACAGTTAACTAAGGTTAACTCATAGGTTTACCAAAAACCATAGCGAAGTTGGTTTACAACTAAGTTGCCTATGGTTTATGGTAAACACATCATGATAGAACATCATAATATTTATCTATTATCTATCATGCGTTTTCTTTTTGTTTTGTTCTTTTGTCTTTTTCTTTCTTTCGTTCTTTTGTTCTTTCGTTTTTCTTTATTTCTTTCTTTTGTTTTTCGTTCTTTTGTTATGTTTTGTTTCTTTCGTTTTTTAATTGCGTTTCATTTTCTTTCTATTTTTCTTTCTTTATGTTGTTCTTTCTTTCGTTCTTTCTCTTTCTTTCTTTATTTCTTTCTTTCTTTCTTTCTTTCTTTTTTCTTTCTTTCTTTCTTTATTTCTTTCGTTCTATCTTTCTTTCTTTCTTTCTTCGTTTTGTTTCTTTTCTTTTTTGTTCTTTTCTTCTCTTTTCTATTCTCTTCTGTTATTTGTTTTCTTTTCTTTTGTTTCTTTTCTGTCTTATCTGTCTTATATTTCTTATCTTTCTTATATATCTTATCTATCTTATCTATCTTGTCTATATTATCTATCTTATCTAATCTAATCTAGTCTGATCTAATCTAATGTAATTTAATGTAATCTAATCTAATCTAATCTACATCTATATATGTATCTATATCTGTCTTATCTATATCTATATCTATTTCTATCTTATCTATATCTATATCTATCTCTATCTTTATCTCTATATCTATATCTATATCTATATCTGTCTGTCTATCTATCTATCTCTATCTCTATCTTTATCTCTATGTCTATCTCCATATCTATCTATGTCTATATCTATATCTATCGATCTATCTGTCTGTGTATATATCTATATCTATATCTATATCGATCTATCCATCCATCCATCCACCCATCCATCTATCTATCTATCTTTCTATCTATCTATCTATCTATTTATCTATCTATATCTATAATATCTTACCTGTGTCTATCTTATCTATATCTATCTTTTCTATATCTATATCTATATCTATATCTATCTATATATATATCTATCTAAATCTATTTCTATATCTATATCTCTTTCTTTTTTCTATCCATCCATCCATCTATCCATCCATCCATCTATCTATCTATCTATCTATCGTCTATAGCGAATCGGGTTTTATCAAGCAAAAAACATTTCAATGGGGGGCACCACCCTTAAAACTTGACCATGGCATATGCCAATCTACGGGTTTTCAGGGGTGTTTCACCTGGGAAAAAAAAAACACGGGTTTCACGGTTTCACCACAAAAAATGTAGGAGATGATCTGGAGTCAAGTTTCACAAATGTTGGGCCACAAGACGGGCGAGTTGCAGTTTTCATGATTTCTGCTGAGGTCAGTGACCATTCAATCCAGCTTCGATGTGTTTCACCCCAAACCCGAAAAAAATATAACGCCATCCTCGATGGATCACTTGTAGGTCAGTGTGACGTTGCTATGTGTCTTTTAGTTCCCGCAGACCCAGCAAACACGTTAGCTCATCGTCTCGCTGTCATCCGGCACAGCAATGACCCTGCTGGCCACGTTGGGCCCCCCAGCCCTCGGGTTCTCTCGCTATGAACTACCAGGCATGTGACCTGACTGTTGATGTCCACCCGGATTTTGCTAAACACCTGGGTTGATCCTTAGCAAATCGTCGCTATTGGTTGCCGTCTTGGAATTCCCTGCGGATGATATGGATGTCTATCTTCGATCGATTCATGGCCAGTCAAACTGTGGCTATGATGGGCGTCTTAAGTCCACTTGGGTCACGGAAAATTCAGGAGATGTGGCATGGTCAAAACACCCATGGGTTATGGTCATCCAGTGGGGGGACTGGATGACCATCCCGGACCACAGCCTTAGAATTCAGTTGTGACCATGGAGTTTGGAAGGGACCCCCACATGTGACCATGGTCTATCATCACCTTCCCTGCGGTGCATGGAAGCAGTTGTTGGTACATGGTTTATCCCACTGAAATCCCATCATGTACATTACTTCATATTTTCCAATAGATACCCTGCCTGGTGCAGGATAACTCGCAACCATCCACAGTATGTTTACATTTCAGAAATGTTAGTGTTTACACATCTATAAATCAACATCTTCCCTATGTGTTCCATCTTATAGGTGCATCAAGTGTTGAGTATTCTCCCATGGTCAGACCTATCTGATGGAGTATTCTCCCATGTTGTCCATGGCCTGATAGTGTACCTGGAGAATCATGCCACGGATAAAGTAAATAGTAAGCCTAGTGAATTTGTGAGGCTTATCCCATTTGCAAATGATATAGCTGATATAGCTGATATGTATGTATATCTATATATTTATGAATATATTATTATTATGTATATATATATAATTATATATATACATATATATATGGTCAGGGGTGGGAATTGGGGGTTGGTTTTTGCGTGTGCTTCCCTGTGAGCGTATGTGTAATGTTTTCCACCATGCGCACTCGTCAGATTCTTTTTCTCTCATGCGCGCCGTGGCCGTCAGTGCCCGTTACAGATTTCGACAAGACAAGTTCGACTTGGGGCCCCTCAACTCATTTCACGCGCCACCGCGTGCAGCCTTCACACCGACGTGTCCGGAAATGGTTTGGACGTGACTTCATGGTGCATTCTGTTGCATTGGTTGCAGTTGCGCTAGTGGACTCATGCTAGCGTCCTCCCGCCTTGCTGCTGGGTTGCTCGGCCGCGGAATTGTGTTTCCGTGCCCCAGCGCGTTGCGCTCATCAAAAACAGCTTGGGGCAACCGCAACATTGCAAATGGAACCCGCACGCGTGCAGTCGTGTCAACAAACAGGCACACACCTAGACGTGTAAGTAAACGTACCATGTCACTTCCGCTGTGCATGCTCGGCGGTGTTATTTGTTTATGCCTTTGCTTCTCGCTGCTGAGATGTCAAGTTCCGTACACATGCCACGAATTTACCACTTAGTCACGACACGCCGCGCTTGACAGATGCACTGTTAAAATGTCTGCGGAGATTCTCACAAGTCACTGGTGCGCAGCACACATGGGCAGAACTACGCCTTTCGTCTCACTTAGAAACACAAAAACAACCGTAGATATACCGTAGATATGGTACAGAACTATATGGCTCAGGGGGGTTAGCATATTTACCTATTACTACTGGGCCACAACCTAGCAAGAGAAAGATTACCTGTGATAACAAGGTCCGCAGCCACAGTCACTCTGGTCAGATGCCTGCTTGCCCTTCACTTACCTACAGCCTGACAAAGACTGTTCCAGCGGGGCAGCTTGATGGAAGATGGGCTGACACAACATAGCAATAGAAAGAGCAACTGTCACAACAAGATGCGCAAGCAGAACCTCTGGGTGCGTGCGCTCCACACGTACTCACTCTGTGCTAAACAGGGGTGGAGCGTCCTGCGGGCATTCTTGTCAACAGTCCTGGGGAGGGAGCAGGGGGAGTGGAAGGTCTTGGCACCATGGTGAGCATCGTCATCCTGGGGCAGGTGTGGGGAGTCTCCACGACCCACCCCGACCTACTAGAGGACTCACCCAGAGTCTCCACTGCCAACACAGGTTGCCCCAGAGTCTCCACTGCCAACGGCGACACAGCAAATGTCACCCTGTCAAGGCCCTCACCACCATGCTCCGCAACCATCTTCCGCAGTCATGTGGAAACAGTGCAGTGGGTACCTGCAGAGGACCGGTGCAACTGTGAGTTGCATGGCCCAGACAGAAACTGTCTCAGGGATTGCAGTCCACATTATGACATGACCAGTCTTCTCCTTAACATG